AACTCTTCATTCGTTCCTTACCCCACACTGTGATAACTAGTGTTCTACTTTCTTTGTGAATTTCCATTTTCTGGATATTTCATATAAGTAGACTCAAAAATTTTTGTTCTTTTGTGTGACTTACTTAACAGCATAATGTGTTAAAGCTTGATCTATATTATAGTGTATGTCAGAATTCCTCACTTATTTATTTATTTATTTTGTCTTTTTGGAACAGGGTTTCACTATTGAGTTCAGGCTTGCCTTGAACTCAATTTGTAGCTCAGGCTGGCCTCTAACTTACAGTGATCCTCCTGCCTCAGTTCCTGAGTGCTGGGATTACAGGCATGCACCACCATGCCCGGCCAGAAGTTTTTTACTTTTTATGGCTGAGTAGTATTTTGTTGTATGTGTATATCTATGTTTTCCTTATTCATCCATTTTTGATGGATCTGTTTGTTTGTTTGTCTTTGAGACTGGATCTCACTGTGCAGCTCAGGCTGGCCTCAAACTCATGCCATCCACCTGGGTCAGCTTCACAAGTGCTGGGATTACAGGTGTGCACCACCGTACACCCGCTTGTTGATGGGTCTTCAGGCTCTTTCTTTCTGGCTCACATGTATATTGTGGTTATGAATATAGATGTGCAGGCACCTGAGACCCTGCTTTCAATTTCTTTGTGTGTACCTAGAAAGAAAATTGTAGACTGTGTAGTTATGTTTAATTTTTTTTGTGTTGCCAGAAATTGAACCCACGGCCTCACACGTTTACCTCTGAGCTACATCCCCAGCCCAGTGTTTTTTGTCTTTGTGTTTGGTGTGGTTGTTTGTTTTTTGAGGAACCACCATACTGTTTTTTGCAGTGGTTGTGCCCTTTTATGTTCCTAGTTTCTCTACCTCCTTACCACCAATTGTTTTTTGCTCTCTTTTTTTTCTTTTAGGTAAAATATTTATTGCTAGGTATGGTGGCTCACACCTTTAATCTCACCTATGTAGGAGGGTGCAGCAGGAGAATCACAAGTCAGAGGTCAGCCTGAATGAATTAATGAGAACCTATCTCCAAAAATACATAGAACTAGGGATTTAGATCAGCAGTAGTGTCCCTTTGGGTTCCATTTCCAGCACTGCATGCATGCATGCATGAATAAAATAAATTAGCCAACTAACCAGTGTTAGCTCCTACCAGTTATTTGGATGGTTATGCTAAAACTTAAAAGTCAGCCTTAAGTCAAACTTAAGACAGACTTTTAATGACTAGAAGTAAATAAGAAATTCACCCATAATGTACATAAACCAAGTTAATCCAGGCAAGGAGAAACATACTTGGAGTCTCAGCTATTTGGGAGAACACTGCAAAGTTAATAGAATACAACTAAGGGACATAAAATTACAATATCCCTAAGACTGTATATTTAAGATGATCCACATAATAATTGTAAAGGCATCTTTTTAACAAATCATTATAAACTAATCCTCATGTTCATATGGAAAATTTATCAGCCTGGCATGTTGGCTCATGTCTGTAATTTGAGCTTTTTAGGATACTGAGGTGGAAGGAAAGCCAGTTTGAGCCCTGCTTGGATAATTTAGGATTTAGAGAGAGAGGGAGGGAGGGAGGGAGAGAGAGAGGGAGAGAGGGAGGGAGGGAGGGAGAGGAGAGAGAGGAGAGAGAGGAGAGAGAGGAGAGAGAGTGACTTCGTCTCAAAATAAAGAACTGGTGATACTGTATACGGTAATTCAATGTTAAGGCCCTGGATTCAATTCCCATTACTGTCCATAGCCCACCACAAGAAAAATTCTGATGAAAAGCAAATGAGTAGAGGCTGGGGATTTAGCTCAGCGGCACAGCCCCTGCTTGGCAAGTGCAAGGTCGTGAGTTCGATTCCTGGTACCAGAAAAAAAAACAAAAAAAAAAAAGAAAAGCAAATGAGTGAATACTAATCCAGTGTGATTTTAAGTCATAGTGTAAAATCATAGTGATTTTAAAATTTGGTGATGTTGCATAAATAAGTAGATCATAAGAACAAAATAAAGATACAAATGCAAATAGATCCAGGGTTTCAGTATAGATAAGGGTTGCATTTCCTTGATATGAAATAGTGTTTTTGTGACAATTGGGTTTTATTTGGAGGAGGGAAAGTCACTGGATTTCTGTTTCATTCCTTATTCAAAAATAATTTCTAGGTGAAAACATTGGAAGATTTAACAGTTTTACTTGTTGTAAAATTAAGTGCAAGGTTTTTCCTGAGCTTGACATAAAGCCTAGACATAAAAAACTCAGTGAATTAACTTCATAAAAACTCAAAATATCTAGGTGGCCTAGAATACTGTGAATGATCTCAGAAAACAAATGTTAGATTGAGTGAAATATTTGCACGAAAGGTGTCAATTTCTGCAAATCAATTAAAAGAACAAATTCAATAGGAAGTGTCAAACATAAATCAGATCACTGATTGAAAATGACAAATTAGGGGTTGGGGATATAGCTCAGTGGCACAAGTGCCTATCTGACAAGCACAAGGTCCTGAGTTCGATTCCTGGTACAAAATTTTAAACATAAGAAAAAATGTTCAGCCATTGTTAGAGACATGTACATTAAATAAGACTTTTTAAAACCTTTGTGCTTGAGGAAGATAAAAGTATTTGATAGTACACTGCATTGTTAAAGTTGTGCAGAAACAGGCCCAGATACATTGTTGGAATATAAATTGGTTTAAACTCCGTGAAGAAATAATAGGCTCTGTTTATCAAAATTTAAAATGTCTGCATTCTCTAGTAAAGTAATATTTAATACAAAAGAAAGAATTAAATTAGTGTATGTGATAATAGTTAACATAAGCACTTTATGTGGATTATTTCATTTAATACAGCTGCCCTATATAAAACAGAGGTTCTTATTTATACGAAGTGGACCACATTGCAGTAATTACAAGGAATGCACTTTTAGGGGTATTAACATTTTCTCAGAATTCAATTGTTTTTTAAAGCAGTTTTAGCTATTATATTTTTCCTCAATTTTGATTTAAAAGTTAAAAATAACACACATTACAAATATATTGAAAGACTCCTAGAATAAGAAACTATTAGTACTTTACACGTTTCTGCAGCTTCTTTTCCTCCTCCTTCTGAACACACAATGGATATCTTTCCTCCTTGTTTCTAATAATCTTAGTAGAGGTAATAGACATAGTTTCTTTATGTTGATTTTTCAACCATATACATACCTAATTAGTGGAACTTGTGAGAAATATTCCTTCTCACAAAGTTAGTGACTATTGCAGATTTACAATATTTCACCTGGTGTTTTTTCCTCTCACAGCAGTGTAATATTAAAGAGTTTTTCTTTTTTTTTGGTCTTTTTGAGACAGGGTCTCACTATGCAGTTCAGGCAGCCTTGAGCTTACTTTGTAGCCCGGGCTGGCCTCGAACTCACAACGAACTCACAACGATCCTCCCGCCTCAGCCTCCAGAGTGCTGGGATTAGAGGCGTGCACCACCACGCCCGGCTTAAAGAGTAATTTAAATCAATGATAACTTGCATTCGAAGCATTGAAGAGGTTTTTTTTTTTTTTTTTTTGAAGAAGTAAGTTTCTAGAAATCCAACTTTTTGAAGCCTTTAGTACATTAGGAAAACAATATGTTAAAAGCATCTGTACTATTTTATCTAATGTTTTTAGACTTTCTGGTGGTAGTCATCTGATTTTTAGTTTACTTATAATAGTAAAAACCTAGATTATTTATCTCATAAAATGGAAGAGAGTGGAAGCTTATAAGGAAGGAAAAAGTTGTCAGTGGCCAATATCCTGAATGCAATGTTAGGAAACCAATTTTCCTAGATTTTTGTTAGGCTTGTTTTGTATAAGATCAGGAAAATTAGCACTACATGTCAGTATGACATTTTTAGGCCAGATTATAATTAACAACTTTTACTACTTAAATTTTAACTACTTGGAAAAACTGCTTTCATTGCCTTATGTGTTGTTCAGTACATGATGGATGAAGTATTCTTCCTCAGTGTGAGATAAGTAAGGTATTTTAATACATTGTAATGTAGTCACATTGTCTTTCGTAATTATTACTCTGAGATATATACAAAGTGTTATCTGTGATAATTAACTGGGTTTTTTGCTTGCCACCACTTTCTTTAGTAGTTTTCATTATTTTGTCTTCATTTCTCTTTAGCGTCCATGTCCTTCTATTCTCCCAAGCTTTTGCATATTTACATGCTATATTTACTCTTAATTTTACATTATATTTATTTGTTTTTTTTTTTTTTTTTTTGGTTTTTCTCCGGTACCGGGAACCGAACTCACGAACTTGCGCTTGCCAGGCAGGCGCTTTTGCCGCTGAGCTAAATCCCCAGCCCCTTACATTATATTTATATATTTATTTATATTAGCATATTTGGGATTGAACCCAAGGCCTTGTACATGCTGTGTGAGTGCTGTATGGCTAGAGCTATACTCAAGCCCTCATATTTTTCTTTGATTTTAATAAAATGTGTAAATTTTTTTGTTGGCAAAAGATTATTTTTTGTAAAAGCCACCAAAAGATGATAATCAAATGTTGTTTGATTTATTTTTATTTTGCATATTTGTCAAATATTACAGTGTGATTTCTTTCTTTCCTTTTTGTTTGTTTTTTGAGACAGGGTATCAGTATGTAGTTTATGCTGGCTTTGAATTCACTCTGTAGCCCAGGCTGGCGTTGAACTCATGGCGATCCCTGTCTCAGCCTCCCAAGTACTGGGATTCTAGGCGTGCACCACTACACCTGGCTCTAAAAGCATGAATTTTGTTTTGTTTTGTTTTTATTGGTCTCCTTTTGAGACAGGGTTGCTATGCAGTTCAGGTTGGCCTTGAGCTCACTTTGTAGCCCAGACTGGCCTACAACTCACTACAATCCTCCTGCCTCAGCTTCCCAAGTGCTGGGATTACAGGCCTGCACCACCATGCCCAGCTGTATTCTTAATATGTCTGAATTATGGTGTTAGTAAAAACCCTGTTGTTTACTTCTTTTTAGGAGTAGCGAAGAAGTTCTTACTGCAGAAGATTGTGAAAATGTCTATCATCTGGTTTATTCAGCTCATCGACCAGTAGCAGTAGCAGCTGGAGAGTTTCTCTATAAAAAGTAAATTTATGTTTATGTTATTCATCTTCTAAAGTATACTTTCATAACAATTTATTGTGATATACTTGATAATAAGTACAGATATATGTATATTAAGCATATTTAGAAAAATGATTGCCAGTTAAATTGAAGCTCTCACACTTTTACTATTTCCTTTAATAGTTTTAATTTTTCCTGTCCAGATTTTTTTGTTGGGGGGCAGTGCTGGAGATTGAACTTGACTTCATGCATGCTAACCAAGCGATATACTACTGAGCTATACCTCTAGGCCCTAATGGATTAATTTAATTTACCTAACTATGTTATAAAGATTGATCTCTTCTTTTTTTTTTGAGACAAGGTCTGGCTGTGCAGCTCAGGCTGGCCTTGAACACACTTTGTAGTGCAGGCAGTCCTCCTGCCTCAGCCTCCTGAGTGCTGGGAATACAGGTGTGTGCCACCATGCCTGGCAACTGATCACTTCTTATTTTCACTCTTCTACTTCAACTTCCAAATGTTACAATATTTAGTCTTAAAACTTTTTTTTTCTTCATTGAAGAATATTCAAGTACTTAGCAGATGTAAGAATCCTATGGTGTCTCTACTTACATTTCTTAAGAGACAGGATCTTGCGTGTAGTTCAGGCTGGCCTTGAACTCACTGTGGAGCCCAGATGACACTGAAATCACAGTGATCCTCCTGCCTCAGCTTCCCCAGTGCTGGGATTACAGGCATATACCACGATGCCCAGCTGGTCTCTTTACTTGAATGATGCTATTTACCAATTCAGATTAGGTAGTATGGACTACAGTGTGAATATCTGATCACAAAAAACATTTAGCAGATGTCAGACAGCAACTTAAAACAATATTTTGAATGCTGACTAAACTAATTATTTTAGTAAGGTTTATTAACATGCCCATTTGGGGTGCAGCGTTTATTATAAAGAATTATTAGTTTTAAACATCCACTCTACAATGTTCTATTAATAATCCTATACTTTTAGTTCTCTTTTGTTATATCTGAGGAAAAATTGTCAACACTATTCATAGAAAAAGACTATTAAAGAGAAGTATGTATCATAGATTTTTGTGCATAAATGTTACATGTTAATATATTTCTTCTATGAAATTAAACATTTGTGTAAAGTACTATAAGTGTTCCAGAAAGAAATACTTTGTAACAATGTAATTAACGTGAAAAGAAAGGCATTTTAAGAGTTGAAAGTACTATCAAGACTAGAATAGAAAGGGTTATCGTGATGATTTGGTTGATGGTTTAATGTTGGAGTGTACCTACTCAGTTCTCTTATTAGTTGATTGTTAGATACTTAAATATGAAATCTGGACAGTTAATTTTTTTCATTAGCTAGTTTATTGTTTTAAAATAAGTACTTTCCTGTGTCTATAGGCTCTTCAGTCGTAGAGATCCAGAGGAGGATGGAATAATGAAAAGAAGGGGAAGACAAGGTCCGAATGCCAACCTTGTTAAGACATTGGTATTTTTCTTTCTGGAAAGTGAGGTTAGTTTATCTTTTTAATACTTACGTTCAGACAATGTATGAGAAGGCATTAAAATGGTGTACATCTTAAAATTTCTACATAAGTCTATTTAATTCTAAAAAATGTTTATTAGTAATGTTTGCAATACATAATGAAACATTCTTTATGGGGACTCAGTACATAGACATATTGCATCTCAATCCTTTGTACTTCTTTATCCTCTCCCTTACCTCTTTTTTCTCTGCATCCCTAAATCTCCTTTCCATCTGCAGAATGTTTGCCTCCCTGTTTCTTATCATCGTCTTTTATTTTACTATTTAAATTATGGATACTTTGAGTTTCTTATATAAGAGAAATCATAAGGTATTTAACCTTCTGTGTCTAATTTATTTTACTTAGCATTGTGGTCTCAAGGTGTGTCTTTTTTCCTAAAAAATGAATCAAATTTATCTGTCTTTTAGCAGAATAGTTCTCCACTGTGTATAAATAACACATTTTCTTTATCCATCATTCATCTGTTGATGGCCATAAGGGACACTTTCAGGATTTAGCAGTTATTAGTTGTTCTGCTATAAATATGGGTGTGCATGTGTCACTGTAATATGATATCTTTCACTCTTTCAGAAAGATACCCATAAGGTAAATAGTTGGATCATATGGAATTTATTTATTTATTTATTTATTTTTTGGTCTTTTTGAGACAGCATCTCACTATGCCTTTCAGGCTGACCTTGAGCTCACTTTGTAGCCCAGGCTGGCCTCGAACTCACAATGATCCTTCTGCCTCAGCCTCTCGAGTGCTGGCATTACAGGTGTGCACCACCACGCCCGACTCAAATATGGAATTTCTGTTTAGTTTTTTTAGGACTCTGCATTTGTCGATTTCCATAGTGCTTGTACTAGTTAACATTCCCATAAGGGTTCCTTTTCCACCTGCAACCTTGCTAGCATTTTTTTTTTGAGTTCATTATGATAGACATTTTTCATTTCTCTAATGGAAAATGCTGAACATTTTTTTCATGTACTTATTGGCCATTTTTACTTTTTTAAAGAAATATATACTCACTTCAGTTGCACTTTTTTTGATTATGTCTTTAATTTGGGGGGATTCTACTTTTTTAAAAAAATTCATGTATTTTAGATAGCAGTCATTTGTGGAATAGCTGGCAAATTTGTTCCTATTCTGTAGGTTGTCTCTTCACTCTTGGTTGGTTTTTTGTTGTTACTGTTGAGAAGCTTTTAAATTTGGTGTAATCTCAATTGTCGATTCTTGGTGTTATTTCTCAGCAATTGGGATTCTGTTCAGAAAGTCCTTGCCTTGTCTGTGTCTTCAAGAGCTTTACCTGTTTTATCTTCTAGCAGATTCAGTGTTTCTGCTTTAATTTCTAGGTCTTTGATCCATATATTTGTTTGATTTTAGTACAGGGTGAGACACATGGGTCTAGATTCATTCTGCATGTGGCTAACCAGTTTACCCAGTACCGGTGTACCAGTCAACTTTTAATATAACAGATCTAACGTGCTCCACAAAATTCTTAAAAAATACTTTCTACTTTTAGTAAGATGTTCGAACAGTAAGTTTTATGTGTACTTCTGGGAACACAGATTTTGGAATCACAAAAGCAGTGTCCCCTACTTACTGTTTGTAACTTTAATGGCTCAGTTCCTTAATCTTTCTAGGAAAAGATGGATTATAACTTCTCAGGTAATCCTGAGATAATCCAAATACAATATACACCTAACATATTACAAGTTCTGAAATGTTAATGCCTCCTGTTAATCGTGTTGTGCATGTGGATTTATATCAATCTCCCTTAAATTGAAAATCTACTTCTAAACTATTCTGAAAGGGAACAAATTCATTTTAAGTGTTCAAATCATGTATTATTTAATTAGCATCATGACCTTTTAATTTTGTAATTATTTCTGTGTATGGATATATATATTTGGTTTTCAAATATTGTCTCTTATCCCACAACTCTGATAAATTCACTTGATTTTTCAGTAGCTTTTTTTAGGTTTTCTACAATATATAGTCAGATCATTTGCAAATAAAAATACTTCTTTTTCTTCCTATCCAACATTTTTTCCCATTTATTTTTATTTTCTGCCTTATTGAACTTGCTAAAACTGCCAGTACAATATTGAATAACAGTGGTAAAGGTAGACCAACATCTTTGGTTTGTTTCTGATCTTATGTACAATTATCCAGTATTTCAATATTGCTTATTTTGTAAGTTACAGGTATTGTGCTGGTGTTTATTATCAGTTTGAGGTTGCTTATTTCTAATTCTTGTTTTGCCAGAAGAGCCTATCACAAATGCATGCGTAGATAATGTAGTCTTTAAAAATGTCCCTTTTTTGCATCTATTGAGATGATTGTTTATCTTTCATTATGTTATTGTATTGAATTACATTTTTTGTTTCTTTGTGGTACTGACAGTTGAACCCAGGTCATTCTCAGAAGCTACATCCCAGGCCTTTTTTAATTTTAGTTTCTGTTTTGAAGCAAGGTCTCACTAAGTTTTCAACACTTTTCTTTAAGCTTGTGATTCTCTTGCTTAGCGTCCCAGAGTGGTTGGATTACAGGCATGCATTACGATGCCTGGCTAAAGTGTTGAATTATTTGAATGATTTTTCCAATATGAAACCATCTTTGTATTCCTGTGATACTTGGGGATGATTTTTTTTGTGTTTGTATCGAATGCAGGGCTTTATACGTTCTAGGCAAATGTTCTATCACTGAGCCTCATCTGTAGCTCTCATAGTCTTGTACATATATATGTAGACAGATTCCATTTGGCAATGTTTGAGAATATTCTTTCTGTTCATGAAAGATATTTTTTATTTTTTTTTGTGGTATAGGGAATTGAACCCAGGCCATTCAAACTAAGCTTACATCCTTAGCCCTTTTTTACGTTTGAGACAGCATCTCACTAAGTTGCCTAGGTGAGACTTGAAATGGCAGTTTTTGTGCCAAAATCTACAGGCTGACTACAGGCATGTGCCACTGGGCAGGGTGGTCTGAATTTTTAGAAATTTGTAATGTTCTCGATGAAATTTGATACTGTGATGGGAAGCACTAGGGTACTTTAGGTTTTACAGAATGAAGAGAGTTGAGTGTAGTTAACTAATGTATTATTGGGTCCAAATAAGCAATAAGTATACCTATAATTTGTGTGTGTGTATGTGTTACTGCATACTAAATCTAGGCCCTTTACACTGAGCTCTCAGCTATTTTTGTTTTTTATTTTGAGACAGGATGTCTTGCTACGTCACTTAAGTTGCATAGCTGAGCTCAAACTTAAATCATGGTGCATGTGTCAGACTCCCAGAGTGTTGGGACAATAGGCGTACACCACAGTGCATGCCTGTGCACATAAAACTTTTATAAAGTATACTTTATTTTAATGTGTTAATTGTTACTGTGAAAAATATTTAATGATGCTACCAAAGTTGACTTATACACACAAGCTCTGACAGTTTTTCCCTGTCCTTTATTCTATGTCAAAAAAAGATTATAGTTTGAGAGTTTGTACATAGTATGAATAAAGCTTTTGTTCTTCTGAGTTGTTTGTATGTTGTTTTAATGCAAATTGTTCTTTAAATTTTAGTTGCATGAACATGCCGCATACCTTGTGGATAGCATGTGGGACTGTGCTACTGAGCTGCTGAAAGACTGGGAATGTATGAATAGCTTGTTGCTAGAGGAGCCACTTAGTGGAGAGGAAGGTAAGGATATTTAATTATGGTATTTTTCTTGAATAGATAGTTTTTAAAATGGATTTTACTTAGTTGTTTTGTTAATGTAAAATAGTTGATACAAAAATCCTACTTTGCAGAATTGTATTTATATATATGAATATTATGTGTCTAAAGACATAATTAGTGTTAAATTCTATTTGTATCTGGATTCATCTTTCCTTTAGATATGTAGATAAGTGGTGGACAGATTTGGAATTTTAAGGGTTTTAGAAAGGTTTAACTTGTTCTGATCTTTTTCTTTGGTAAGCGATGATACTTTCCTTAGTACATTAGGTCAGATTTTGTTCATAGGCAGAAGAAACTTACATAATTGTTACAAGTGGCTTGTAGGGAGAATAAATAGGTTAACTCTCTCTGATTTTTTTTTTTAGCACTAACAGACAGACAAGAGAGTGCTCTGATTGAAATAATGCTTTGTACTATTAGACAAGCTGCTGAATGTCATCCTCCTGTGGGAAGAGGAACAGGAAAAAGGGTATGCCAGTGTTTTTCAATATAATAAACAGTGTTTATCTTTTCTCCGTATCTGTTTAAAAAATCCATTTTTAACCTTGGAACAAGAAAATATTTTTCAGAACACTTGCTCATATATATGTGTGTTCAATGTAAATTTTATGTTTGTTTATTTGTTTAGTTATTTTCTGAGATAGGGTCTTGCCATGTAGCCCAGGCTGGGGATCAATACCACAGGATCAATTTCTAATGCATTATTGCAGTGTTCACCCATATTTGCAATTTGTTTCGACAAAACGATCAAGGCTTTTGATCTTTTTTGGCCATGAAGGACAAAAGTACGTTTTTATATTATGAGCTAATATGCATGAATATATATGTATTTGTATACAGCTGAAAGAGAACTTCATCTAATATTAGTGAAACTTACAGTATGTTATACATTCTATATTTTTCCTATTCCTATTCGTTAATTAATTCTTTTTGCCGTGTCAAAGATCAAACCTAAGGTTTTTGTGTATGCTAGGCAAGTGCTCTACATCTCTATCCCCTATTTCTGTTTTTTTAAAAAAATTATTATATTGCTATTTTTCAATACTAGTTGCAACTTACTTTTTTTAATTCATAACTCAAGTGCTATGACCCACAGACTAGAGTAAGATGGAATGCTGTTCAATTTCATTATTACATAAACTCCCAAATTACATTTCCTATTGTATTTTTCCTTCTATGCAAAGGTAGAGTTGATTAGTCTAATTTGGTGCTGATTTTCCCTCTAGGACTATTCACTTGATTTTCTTGTTTAATTTTAGGTGACTGTGATTTTGTCATTGTGTTTTGTTTTTAGACAGGGAGGAAGTTATTCTCTTTAGTGTCACTTTTAGAGTTAAAGTTTTGTAGTAGAAATTTTTTTTTTAGTACCAGGAATTGAATGTAGTAGAAATTTTTGTATCCATCATTTAAAATATAGTTTGTTTGTTTTTAATTCTGATGAGCTTTAATAAATAAAAAGCTCCATTATTTCCATATGTCCGTCAAGAAGGAAATGAATAGCAGTCCCACCAGTAAAAAATACAGTTTTGTTACTTATGTTGTATGTCCTAATTAAAACTTGAACACTTAACAGTGTTAATGGGCTTGGTAAATTCTAATTTTTTTTTGCTTCTGGAAATCGAACTCAGAACCTTGTGCTTGCCAGGCAGGTGCTTGTACCACTGAGGTATATCCCTGGCCTGGGCTTGGTAAATTCTTATAAAAGTCTTTGTGTTATTTCAGGTCCTGACAGCAAAGGAGAAGAAGACCCAGTTGGATGACAGGACAAAAATCACTGAACTGTTTGCTGTGGCCCTTCCTCAGTTATTAGCAAAAGTAAGTTTGTGTTAAAATCACAGTATTACTAAGAAATGACAGATCTTTTTTTCAGAAGGCCAGAGACTATTATAATGTTTACTTAGCATTATTGTGATGTTTTTAACATAATCTTTTTATTTCAAAGTACTCTGTAGATGCGGAAAAGGTGACTAACTTGTTGCAGTTGCCTCAGTACTTTGATTTGGAAATATATACCACTGGAAGATTAGAAAAGGTAAGATGTTTTTGGTGAATAAAAAACCTTAAAGTGAAAATGTTAGTTTTGTTACTCTCATCATATTTTTGCTTATATATTTTAAATATTTAATGAAACCTCTGTCTTCTGTATTTTAAAGCAGTTGGTTTTAGAGAATGGTGCTAACGAGTTTTCCCTTTGCTTCATGTTCATTGCTGTGTATACATTCATTCTAAATTTATGAGGATTTGACATGGGTGGGTTTTTCTTTACATTATTTAATAATAGTTACAAAGTAAATGAAGCCAGTAGTTCATTGAACACTTAATATATTATATTATGGAGCTTGTATAAGTTCTTTATATGTATCAACATTCTTACCCAAGCCTTATGAGATAGGTATCATCAATAATGTTGCAGAAATAAATATGGCTGTATCATTATATTTACTGACCATAGCTTAGAAAGCACCTTAAAATGTATGCCCTGTGTTTTATGTTACTATATTTAAAAATGTTCACTGTGGTGTTATGGTAACATGGTCACTTTATACTTGTTAAATATATCTTAGTGGCCTTAGCTTATCCTGTGCCTTAGTTTTAATGAAAATTTATTTTGCAGCATTTGGATGCCTTACTGCGTCAGATACGAAATATTGTAGAGAAGCACACAGATACAGATGTTTTAGAGGCATGTTCTAAAACTTACCATGCACTCTGTAATGAAGAATTCACAATCTTTAACAGAGTAGATATTTCAAGAAGTCAACTGATAGATGAATTGGCAGATAAATTTAATCGGCTTCTTGAGGATTTTCTACAAGAGGTATGTATTACAACTATTTGGTAAGTTAGACCCTTTCCCTCCAGTGACCTAGTCACCCCAGAATTAGTCCTGGTGATAGTCTAGTAGCATGTTGTTGAAAATGTACCAGGCTTTTAATTCTGTGAATCTTCAGATTATTACTCCTATACCAAAATAGGAAAAGGGTAAAAATCTGTGCCTTGGAGAAGGTGAAAGCAAAATGAGCATCTCTCCTTTTTTTTTTTTTTGAGACAGCATCTCACTATGCAGTTCAGGCTGGCCTTGAACTCACAGTGAGCCTCTTGCCTCTGCCTCAGTCTCCATCTCCCAGTGCTTGGAATATAGTACTTTGTGACCACACCCAGCCTCTCCTTTGTTTTCAGGGAATGATGTAGACTATTTCCTAGTTTTAGTTGAATATGAGCCTGATTGAGATTAAGGTATTAATGGAACAGAAAAATAGAGGTAAATTGAGACCGAGTAGCTCCAGAAAAGAGATTTTTTAGTGTTTTAGGAGTGTTGGTGAGGGGAAGGTGATTATGGTCTTTGATATTAATAGTGCCTTAATAAGTTGCTCTTATAGTCACTATGGCTTTGGAGTTTTCCGTTTTTTTCTATTGTATTTCCAAAGAGGCTTAGAGCATTGACACTCAAATATACTTGTGTTTTTATTGTAGTTGAGTTTTTTCCAGAAATACATATTTGTATTATAATTTGTTTGAATAGAATAAACATAGTTATCAAATTAATGCCTTTAGGGTTGTCCACACTGTTTCGCTTGTCAGTGCTACAAATGGATTTTGTAATTTCCATTTTTCTCATTTTATTAAGTTACTTAGCTGTATGTGTACATGTGTAACATTACTGTAGGCTTATTAAGTTCTACTAATTGGAGGGTTGTACAAATATGTTGTGCAATTCTCACATTCTTAGTTAAAAATTTTAATGACAATATAATTGTGATTAGGACAAGTTAATTTAAAATCAAGCAATAGTTTGTTAATTAAGCTTAATTTGTAGAAATATTAAAGTTTAAAAACAAGTAGTGTGGTTTTGAGAGAAGATTCAATAGTGTTTAAAGAATTTTATGTTTCATATAGTAAGGCTCAAAAATTTTCCCAAACTTGAGTTACCCTGTATTGAAAAGTATATTAATAAATGTTGATGCCCTGAAAGGACTAACATCTACTCATTCTTTAGATGGTTTTCCCATTTATTTCTGATTAATCCAAATATATTTTTTTAACACTGTTTAGTGTACTTAGGCTTTGTAATGTAAGTATTGTCTTTTATGATCTCAAAAATGTATTTAATGTATTTTTCTTTAAATCTCTAGTGTATTTATTATTGTAAAATAGTAGATTTCTTCACAGTTTTATGTCATTATTTAACAGAAAAAGGGAGGAAAATAATTTCTTTTTCCCTCTTCAGCATAATGTACCTGCAATAAAAACCTGTGTTGACCCCAGCCACACAGCCTTACATTTGGCAAATCTAGGTGTTGATTGATGAAGCTGATTTGTTATGTTATTCTTTACTTTTCACAGTAATACCTCCATATTGATAGCCTAGTATCTTCTCACTTTGATAGTTCTTAATGTATACTCATTATTTATAGGGTGAAGAACCTGATGAAGATGATGCTTATCAGGTATTGTCAACATTGAAGAGAATCACTGCATTTCATAAGTAAGTTTAATCTTTTATGTTTCTGATTTCTTAAAACTAGAAATATCAGCTTGCATACTTTATGGGGCTCAATATTTTCAGATTCTTTAGTAGTTTTCTTCTGCTTTTCATAAGAAAGTACCTGGTAAAGTCATGTTTTAAATTGAGGAGTGACTAAAAAATTATCTAACATACTTCTTAAAAATTATTTTGTTATAGTTGCCTGTTAAATATTTACCATGATTAATTTAGCAGTGCTCTGTTAATGTTAACTCAGGTACAAAACTATTATGAGTTGGCTTAGTTGTTTAACATCCTAATTCCTTTTTTTCCCACAGTGCTCATGATCTGTCTAAATGGGATCTGTTTGCTTGTAATTACAAACTGTTGAAAACCGGAATTGAAAATGGAGATATGCCTGAACAGGTTTTTATTTATTTATAAATTACATATTTAACTTTGAGAATGAAGGCTTGTGACTTAAATTTTTTCTCTATTTTCTTGGTTCTGTTTTACAGATTGTTATTCATGCACTTCAGTGTACTCACTATGTAATCCTTTGGCAGCTTGCTAAGATAACTGAAAGCAGTTCTACAAAGGTTTGTGGTGTTCCACAGTGTTTTTTGTTCTTTGGTTTTTTTTAGATTAAATATCATTCATGGTTTTTGGCATATCTCTAATAAGACCAGTTATTTCATTGAAGTTGTATTTGTTTGTTTCTAATGTGTATTTCAATGTGTACTCTGATAAAAAGTCCAGTTCTTAGTGTACTGTTTATTCAGTGAGAGGGCTTTAATGTGGTTTGTTTCAGGGTATGACTTTTAATTAAAATTGTTCCCATGTAGGTGGTAAAATTTATGACTTTACATAGTCTCAAAATGAGAGAGTAGAAGTATAAAGATAGGTTTCTGAAAAGCATGTCTAAGAACCTTTCAAACAAATGGATACAGGTATTGCATTGTATAAATTAAAGTCAGCTTCCTTGAATTGTATTGTGCCCTGCAATCATTTTAGGTTCATCTTCATGTTCAGTCTCTCTATTGATGAACCAAATTCATGAGAAATCATTCTCTGATTGAGTATAATGTACCACTTGTTAGGACATAGAGCTTTTGAAACTTTAACCATAATCTCCAGTGCACACAAGTTACTGATTTAAATAAATTGGATGCTTAAACATTGTACCATCAGTAGTTCATGTTGCCTGCAACATTATTTGGGCTTATTTTATAAATAAGCAATTTCTGTGAGTTATACATTTAGAGCTTCATAAGTTTTCTTTAAAGGGAAGTTTTGATGATAGTTTGTATGGCCTAAATCCATGGAATAATGTTAAATCCTTAGAATGTCTCTTTGCTTTTAAGATGCCGTTATATCTATAAGTAGGTATTTTTTCTCTTGAGAAATCAATAGAGAGTTGTTGTTAAATGGTGTACTTTTGTCATAGTCAGAAAGAAGTTTATTTAATTAGGTATCAAGCTTGTAGTGGGAATAGGAATCACAGCATATATGATCACTTGAAGATTTGAAAATTAAAGTGGGAAAAAGGCAATATTTTAGAGGGAAAAGGTGAGTAGAAAATTATGCTAAAACTGAGTTTTCACCAAATGGGATCTCCTAGTTAAATCTATTTTTATTTAACTTCTGTTACATATTCTCAATATGTACTAATACTCTGTCATGTGGCATTCAGTATGAGAAGATGGCCAAAGTTTGTAACTTAAATTAGATAATGTGGACATTAATTTTATATTTCAAATAAATTGAGCAGTATTTAGAAATATAAAACAATGTAAGAATAAAATTCAGCTTTTTAGCGTATGTCTAAGAATCATTTTAACATTTACAGTAGTACTACAAAACTGATTTTGCACCCCCTTCTCTTATTTTTTAAGCAGTAGAATCTATCTTTTAAAATAACAAATAGAAGAAACTCCCCCTCATCCCCATTCACTTCCATATGGGAGTTGCATCCAGGACCTTTACACTGAGATATATCACAATCCCTTTTTGTGTTTTTACTTTGAGGCAAGGTCTTGCTAATTTGCCCAAGTTGAGCTCAAACTCATAGTACTACTGCCTCAGCTTCGGAAAATGTTGGGATTATTGATGCTGTTCTTTATTATTATTCTCCTACTAGCCTGTTTTGAAGCTTTGTTTTATTGTTATTACTTTTTTCTCTTTAACATAAATGTAAAAATTACTTTCTTTGATTCATGTGTTGCAACTCTTCAAATAATAAAGTGAATCTGGAGTAGTTTTTCTCTTAAAGCATTCTGATTTGGTGGCTTTATTAAATATAGCCATACATGTATGCTTGTACTCATATACCAAATGAAGCCCACTGTATTTTATAACTAATGTGCAGTAATAAAAACACAGTCAGAGGGCCAGGGATATAACTCAGCGGTGCAGCTCCTGCCTGGCAAGTGAAAGATCCTGAGTTCAATTCCCAATACCACTGCCCCCCCAAAAAACCCCCCCAAAAACCCCACCACTTATATATAAGTTTTCTCATTGTAAATGACCGTGACCACTTAAGATGTTACTGATTTATATACTTAAAACTTTAAGGCTCCAATTTGATGAGATTTGTTAGAAAAATGGTCTGTTTTTTTCTAATTATAAAGAACAAATTTAAATCAAATGCATAGGTGCAGTTAATGAAGTTATATAAACAGTATTTTTGTATTTTAAAACATTTAAAGGAAATACTGTGAATGAGTTGTTTATACAGTACCTTAAACTGTTTGTGTTCAATTTTTTAAGGAGGATTTACTGCGTTTAAAGAAACAGATGAGGGTATTTTGTCAGATATGTCAGCATTACCTGACCAACGTGAATACTACTGTTAAGGAACAGGTTAGTATTTCCTATAGATCTTTTGTAAGCAGCCTTTGTAAGTCTAAACTAATATAAAAATTTACATAATACTAAGGTTGAGCAAAGTAGAAATGTATCTGCCTACATATACCATGCTTTTAAAAAAGCAGATTAATATATTGAGCTTATAAAAAATGAAATTGATTTATCAATTCATAAGTTTATATTTGTATTATAGATCAACTTTATATTGTTTTATGTTGTTTTCTTCCTAAGACAAATGGTAAACAAACTCACTTATACTAATTATAGATATACAAAATTGTAGAAGTCACTCTTGAAAGCAACAGGTATAACAGGTTTGCTTCAAGGAGAAAAATGTCCATAAGGTTTGTCATCTCGGAGAATAGCAGATGTTGACATTCATGCCTGCCCTGATCTTGTGTGAAATAAAAATTCATTACCTTGTATCCAAGTATGTTAGCTTCCCATCCTATATGCCTTCATTATTGCCTGCTTTCTCAAGTCTAGAAATAGACTGTGACCTGGTTTGATCCTGAAACTAAGGTCATGTTTAGTTCTAATTCTCTGTTGAGAATTTCGAGCTCACTGGGAATATGCTTTTTAAATGCATCTATTCTGTGAATATTTTGAGAAGCATTTTATAATAAATATTAGTACATGTAGCCAAAATGCTTATGATTTCAAGCTTTTTTGACTTTTATCTAAATTAAAATTTGTTCATTGGGGTAGAATCTGAGTAATCACTAACCCTGAGTACTTTATTTGGAAACTAACATGTTGGGTGCTACTTATTTTAATTCAGAGTATAGTTGCTTCTTAAATTTATCAAGAAAGTTTTTAAAAATAAAATAATCCTTTTCTTATTTGTCTTTATTTTATTTAAAATGTCAAAACATTTTTCTTTTCATTTTCTTCCTAGTACTGAGGATTAAAAGCAGACTATCACTCATGCTAGGCAAGCATTCTGTCACTGTGGTCCATCACCATTGGTTTTAATTTATTTGTTTTAAAGAGAAGTAATCATAATTTATTTGTTTTGGTACTGGGGACTGAACCCAGTGCCTCACTGCTGAGTAATCTGTGCCCCCAGCTCCATTTTTGAAATTTTTATTTTAAAACAGGTTCTTGCTAAGTTGCCCAGGGTAACCTCAAATTTGTGATCCTCTTTCCTTAGCCTCTTTTTTTTTTTTTTTTTTCCGGGACTGGGAATCAAACTCGCGCTTGTGCTTGCCAGGCAGGCGCTGTGCTGCTGAGCTAAATCCCCAGCCCCCTTTCCGTAGCCTCTTGAGTACCTGCAATTATAGGTGTGCGCCACCTTGTGTGACTCAAACTCAGTTTTAATAAAAAAATTTGTACTTTTGTGATTAAAAATTTGTAATCAGTGGCCAAATGTTAGTCTTTTCTTATTTCCAACTTGTTGTACCTCCTGTATATATATATTTGGATATACATAAGTTAGACAATACTCAGTGGCCAAACTGCAGTTGCTCATTTTTCATTTTCTTTTCTTTTTGGTTCTGGGAATCGTACTCAGGACCTCGCCATTGCCAGGCAGGCACTTGTGCCACTGAGGTATATCCCCAGCCCTTCGTTTTTCTTATAAAGTATGAAGTCTCTTCAGTTTTAAATATGTGGCTTTGTGTTGTAGCAGTAAAGGGTTTAGAACCTTAATTTTTGTCTCTATAACTCATATGCAAGGACCAAAATTTCTGATAGTAGTAAATTGAGGTTAGATTTAATCTTTTAGAATATGATTTCAACCACGGGTCCAAACCATATATATATATCTCAGACACACACACACACACACACACACACACACACACACACATACTATCTCTCACGCACACACACATACACACATGTATTCACACACTCAGTTTACTGTTCATATTTTTTATAGTGTTAATGTGCAATCCTTGTTAGTTATCCTTTGTAACCTCAATATAAATCTCTTTGTTAGGCCTTCTAGATTAATTACAGGATGCTTTTAAAGTTAGTTTGCTTTTCTGTTTTCTTAATGACTAGCAGGCATATGACCTGTCATTTGATCTACCTCTACACCTAATTAATAAATATCATTGCACTAAACACTTGGTCTTTACTGTGTTGTGTTGCAAATTTTTGTAAACTGAAAAATCCTTATAGGTGTAAATTACTATTAGTAAAATGAAGAGACTGAAGAAGCAAAAGCATAAAATAAGGGGAAAAAGTAAATGTGATTAGTTCTCATAAGGAAAAATTATTATTAAGATTTGTCTTGTGCTCTATATGATAACCTGTCTTTCTAGCAAGTCTATGTTAAATATATTTTCTGATTGATTTTATGACCCAAAAGTTTTCTACTACCCTTTTCTAATAGAGGTGTCGCAGCTCTCTTTTGACTAATTTTACTACTCTGTGACTCCATTTAGCAGTTTCTAGTAAATTTTTTGATGTATAGCTTATGTTTGTTATGATACCGTCTGGATTTCCTTCTGTATAATATCTAGGTGTATAATCTCTACTTAATCACTATACAAATGGAAGACAGTGCCTTAAAAAGTACCATATATTATTTGATCACTATTCTAATTCTTAGCTCCTTGATGCATTATTTTCTTCAGCAGAACAGAGAATGGTACCATGTTTATATATTATTTTTGAGAATCAACACCATGAGATATTTTGTTATAGTGCAGTATAGGGAATTGGAGTCTGAAAACTTTAGGTTAAGTCCTGACTGCACATTTTGGCAGTGTTAACATATTGTATAAGCCACTTAACATTGCTGAAAATAATGTTTGTGAAATTACCTTGTGTAATAAAGCATTTTGTAAATATTAGTAATTGTTTTTATAGAAAGTAAATTTCTTACCTTTAAAATCTTAGGAAAGCACAGAACAATGATTTTATTTTCAAATACAGAAAAGTTGGGTGTTAATTCTGTGTTAAATATGGAAGATATATGAATGGTCAGAAAACTTACAACATCCTTTTCTTTATTTTAATAGGCCTTCACTATTCTATGTGATATTTTGATGATCTTCAGCCATCAGATTATGTCAGGAGGACGAGATATGTTAGAGCCATTAGTTTACACCCCTGATTCTTCATTGCAGTCAGAGTTGCTCAGCTTCATTTTGGATCATGTCTTCATTGAACAGGATGATGATAATAATAGTGCAGGTAATTTTATTGCCATGTTTTTGTTAAATCTTTGTGAATACCATAAGTCAAAGTAACAGTGGTGTTAGTCTTGCACTACAGTGAATAAAAAAATAGGCAAAAATAACAAAAGAAAAACAATAAAAATGATACAGTGTTTCAAAATAAAATGATAGGAATTAACAGTGGTTGTTATATTACATATTATCTTCAGTGAAGTTGCTCAGATTAACAGATGTAAAGAATACAAGATTGATCAAATGATTAAAGAGAATAAAAAATAATAAAAAAGCATTAGAAACGATACATAGCTTCAGTAAACTAGATGGTAGGAATTCACCATTGATTGTTATATTGCACATTATTGTCTTCAAACTAGTTGTTCAGATTTACAAATATGACTAACATGCACAGTTTGTCAGGAAAAAAATTTAAGCATGAACTGTTCCTTTAAATAAACCATTAGACATCAGCAGTACAATTATCCCAGCTATCCATCTACGTGTTTATGTGTGTGTGTGTGTGTGTATATATATATATATATATATATATATATATATATATACACTTTCCCTTCCTTCTTTTCTTTTCTCCTTTCCCTCATCCCAGTTGTTCCTTCCCTTTGAGCAATTTCTTTACCTTTCACAAATATCTATTGGACATTTGGGTTTTATTTACTCTTTCAGGTTCTTACACTAGGGAGACAATATGATGTTTACATATGTGGGTCTGACTTATTTCACTTATGAGTATGGTCTCTAGTTGCAGCCCTTTACCTATAAAAGTCTCAAGTTTATCTTTTTTATAGCTGAGTAATACTCCATTGTATAAAAATATCGCATCTTTTTTATCCATTTCTCAGTTGATGGGCATTTGGATTGTTTCCAAGATTTAGCTATAACAAATTGTGCTGCTATAAACATGGGTGTACATATATCGCTGTGGTATGATGTCTTTAATTCTTCTGGCAAAATAACCCAGAAGAGGAATAGCTGGGTGAAGTGGGCCCTCTAATCCTAGTTTTGTGAGGAATTTTCACAGTGGTTTCACCAGTCTACACTTGCACCAAAAGTGGAGAAGTGTTCCTTTTTTCCCACAGTCCCTCCAGCATTTGTTATTGATTGATTTCTTGATGATAGCCATTCTTTCTGGGGTGAGATGGAATCTTCATGTTGTTTTAACTTGAATTTCTCAAATCACCAGTGATGTTGAACAATTTTTCATATATGTATTTGCCATTTGTATTTCTTCATCTGAGAAGTGTGTATTCATCTCAGATGTCTATTTTTGGATTGGGTCTTTGAATTAGGTGGACCTGATTTTTAAAAATTCTTTATATGTTCTAGATAAAGTCCTTTGTCTCAGGGATAGTTGGCTAAAATGTTTTCCCAGTTCATGGGTTTTCTTTTTACTCTATTGGTGATTTCTTTTGATGTGCAAAAACGTTTCAATAAGATGAGATTCAGTATTTGCCATGCAGTTTGATTTTTGTTCATGAACTCTCTGCCTACCCCTGTCTTCAAGATTTCTAGCCACTTTCTCTTCCAGTAGATTTAGTGATTCTGTCTTAATATTTAGATCTTTGATCCATTTTGACTTAATTTAGTGCATGGTGGTAGACATGGGTCTAGTTTTAGTCTTCAGCATGGGGAAAGCCAGTTTTCCCTGCACCATTTATTAAAGAGGTTATCTTTCATCCAGTGAACATGTTTGGCTCCTTTGTCAAAGATAAGGTGACTGAGTGTGTTTGTAGTTGTGTCTTCATCTTCTAATCTGTTCCATTAATCTTCAGGTCTGTTTTTTTGCCCGTACCATGCTGATTTTATCACAGTAGCTTTGTAGTATAATTTCAAGTCAGGTATTTTGATGCCTCCTGCCTTTCCTTTGTTGGCCAGGATTGCTTTTGCTATTCTAGGCCTCTTCTGGTTCCAAATGAATTTTAGGAATATTTCTTCTAGATTTGTGGGGTATACTAATGGAATTTTAATTGGTATTGCATTGAATCTGTACAACAATTTTGGTATTATGGCCATTTTCACAATGTTAGTTCTTCCTATCCGTGAGCAAGGAATATCTTTCTCATTTTCTAAAATCCTCTTCGATACCTTTTTTCAGAGTACTGTAGTTTCCACTGTATAGATCTTTTACTTCCTTTGTTAGATTAAGTATTGCATTTTTTTAGATGCTATTGTGAAAGGTTCACTAATTTCTCTCTCAGTCTGTTTGTTGTTTGTGTACAGGAGTGTATTGATTTTTGAGTGTTGACTTTGTATCCAGCTATGCTCCTGAATTTGTTTATTAAATCTGTAAGCCTTTTGGTCGAGTTTTGGGGGGTCTTCTATGTAGAGTATCATGTCATCTGTGAATAATGATAATTTCACTTCTTTTCCTGTCCATATTCCTTTTATTTCTCTCTCTTGTCTAATTGCTCTGGCTAATATTTGCAGACTATATTGAATAGGAGTGGTGACAGTGGACATCCTTTACTTGTTCCTGATTTTAGAGTGAAAGTTTTCAGTTTTTGTCCATTTAGTATGATGTTGGCTGTTGGTTTTTCAGAGATAGCTTTTATCAGAGTGAGGTAAAAACCATCTATTCCTATTTTCTGTAGGGTTTTTATTATAAATGGGTATTGGGCTTTATCACAAGCCTTTTTTGCGTCTGTTGAGATGATCATGTGATTTTTGTCTTTGGCTCTTAGATATGGTGTATTATATTAATTGATTTATAATTTATCTTTATCCAAGTTAGATCCCACCTTAGTATTCGTCCTGAGCCTGTGTTTCTATTTATTTATTTATTCATTTAATTTTCTGAACCTGTGTTTCTAATTTGTACCTACCTCATGGAACTATGAAGATTAATTAAAATTGAACAAAGGGACTAATACACTGCCTAAGCATACTACATGTATTCAGTAAAATTTATACCCACTTTCCACTGGTAAGACCAATTTTCAGATAATTTGAGAATAGAGTATTTCAGTGACTTTTGTTGTATATTTGTATAACATTAGTTTTCATATTTCAAGTGTTAATGTGATTTCTGAATGTTAAAAAAATTCTTTGTCGAAGCCTGCAATAGTGCAGAATGTTCACAGGACAGTAATTACTGTGTTATCCTTCCATGCTAAGTACAGACCCAGCTGCATTACTTGCGTATGAGGTCCTGGAAAAACAAGTAGTACTTGGTGACTTCTGGTTTGTTTTTAATACAAATTTACACCTGTAGAAAAATAAAACATCAACATGTTCTGTCCAAATATAAATTGAAACATCATTGTATGTCAAGATCTAAACAAACAGAATTTTAGCCTTGTTATATAGCCTGTTTATAACAATGAAGGGCTTTGTGCTCATATACTAAAAATGTACCTAGAGTGCGACAAAGATAGCCAGACTAGCCAAAACAGTTGTCAGCATTTGTGTTACAAAGTTTCTATGCTTTGAGTTCGCACGTTTCACTCTTATCTGTTAGTTGAGTTGAACTTCCTACTACTCATCAGACAAACATTTATTGGTCAGCAACATACCAGATGCCACGTGTATGAAAATGTGGGACAGAGTCTTTTTAAGGGCTGGGGATGTAGCTCAGTGGCACAGAACCTGCCTGGCAAGCACAAGGCCCTGAGTTTGATTCCCAGTACCCCCCTGCAAAAAAAAATTGAACTCAAGCACAAAAGTCATCTAAAACATAGTTACAATGCAATTTGATAAGTAACAGAGACATGTACAAAGTGTACGTATGTAGAGGAAGTTCTAACTCGTCTGCATCTTTTGAGAAATGGATCTGAAATACGAATAGCCATATTTGTTTCAGATTTTTAAAAAAGAAATAAAGCTATACTGACAATATATAGTAATAGCAGCTGACACTTATAAAAAGTCCAGAGTATTAGGTACTTCTCGGGGCTGGGGATTTAGCTCAGCGGCAAAGCGCCTGCCTGGCAAGCGCAAGGTCGTGAGTTCGGTTCCTGGTACCGGAGAAAAACCAAAACCAAAAAAAAAAAAAAAAAAATTAGGTACTTCTCTGCATTCTTCTCAGTGTTCTGTAAGATGAAGATAGCTAGTTTTTGATAAGTAAAAAATACAAAAAATAAATAAAAATTAGAGTTTAAATTTTTTAAATCAGGGCCATTTAGTCTGTAGGGTGACGAAGTCTATGCCTCTAGTTCTTGTGAGCAGTACTAAGCAATGCTTGGAAACAGTATCATGCAGACATACTCCATTATAGTGAGAGTTATCAAGAATAGGTTAGCTTATGTGTTCAGTGTAGTCTTTTAAAAAAATGAAAGATACCATTTAGGTTTCTAAGCAAATGGCTTTGACATACTGGAACATTCACATATGATAAAACCACTGCATATCAGTAATACGGAATAGTGAGGTTTGATTTGGTGTATTGGTATATTTAGTGTTTTGATTATTTTCTATCCCATTACTTAGGTTCAATTTCCAGCACCAAGAAAATGTTTTTGGTTTTATTAGCATTTCCCAAGAATTACTAGAGCCAAGCTAAAGTCAGAATAAAACAAAATTAGTAGATAACAAATTATTCTTCTGATGTTGGGAATCTTAAATTGAAGAAGTGATAAGATATGAACCAATTCTTTACAAAATATTAGCTACAAATGGCTAGCAAACTTTTAGAAATCTGTAACTTCACTAGTTAAAGAACTAGTAACCAAAAAATGCAAAGAAATAAAGTAATAGGTTTTTTTTTTAACCGTATAGAGATAGATTTTTTAAAAAGTAATTTTATTTTTCAGTTCTGTCTAGAGGAAAATTCTTTACATAGCTTTTTATATAAAAGATTTTATCACAGTTTTACTTACTGTACCAGATGATTAGAAACAATCCGTTGCTTGCAGTGGGGCTTTCTTCATGGTGTATTTAGAAATGTCTGTCCTCTTGAAATTGAATGGGGAGGCCTCCCGTAATGAACCCAGCAGAAAATGGGAAATTATGTTGGAAAGGCAGAATTGTTCCTAGGCCAGTGTAGCACATATTTAATGTTTATTAAAGAGGTATACATGAGCCGGGCGTGGTGGCACACACCTGTAATCTCAGCACACGGGAGGCTGAGGCAGGAGGATCGTTGGGAGTTCGAGGCCAGCCTAGGCTACAAAGTGAGCTCAACGCCAGCCTGAACTGCATAGTGAGACCCTGTCTCAAAATTAAAATAAAATAAAATAAAATAAAATAAAATAAAATAAAATAGGTATACATGAATAACATCAAAGGTGAGAATCAGTAAGAGAATTTTGAGATTGGTTGCTTGTAGAAAGAAGGAACTGTAATCAAAAGATGTTATATATGCTGATCACACTGACAAATAATCTTGTTAGGGAAGTATAAGAATGTGTTGGGCAAGTTTAGCCTGACTTCTCTAAACATCATTTCCTCTGACTCACTAATGTTGCGTTATGTTATTTATTTTTGTCTTTTTGAGACAGGATTTCATTATGCAATTCACCCTGGCTGTGAACTCACTTTGTACCCCACCTAACCTCAGATTTGTAGCAGTCCTCCTACCTCAACCTCCTGAGTGCTGGGATTAGGTGTGCCTACCATGCCTGGCCTGACTATTTTTGTTTCATGTTCATTAAGAAATCTTGTGATTTATTGTTCAGTGTCACAAAAACACAGTTTTTGGTGTAAATTGAGTAGTTATTTTAATTTCATTTTTTTCTGCTTTTAAGCTCTCCCAGTAAAATGGTTAGAATGTCGTATGGATTAAAAGTGATTGATTTAAAATATAAGAAGGCTTAGTTTTTGACACTTTTCCTATAGATGGCCAGCAAGAGGATGAAGCCAGTAAAATTGAAGCTTTGCACAAGAGGAGAAATTTACTTGCAGCCTTTTGTAAGCTAATTGTATATACTGTGGTAGAGATGAATACAGCTGCAGATATCTTCAAGCAGTATATGAAGGTAAAGTTGAAAATGGATATAACAAAATAGTTTTTAAATGCTTAAAAGAAATTGTGACATAGGCTTTTATGCTTGGTTGCTTCTGAAAATTTTAATAAATAATAAATTACTTTTAATAACTTAATAAATTAGAAATAGTAAATTACTTTTCTTGTAAAATAAGTTTAAGAAATTTAACATTTTTAGTAACATTCTATCATATCTTCAGTCTTTCAGTTAGTGGAGTTGGGGGTTTGTGATCATTTACACTTGGAATATTACATGTTATCTATAACTATTAGAAAAGAAACTACATTTATGATTTAAAGATAACAGGTGTTTTTTCCCCCCACATTAAAATGTGTTATGTTTGGAGTCAGGAGACCTAGGTGGTAGTTTTAGGTTGGTTGCTATGGAGCTTATGAACTTGAGTCACTAAGGACCTTTTGCATCCTACCCTGAGTTCCTTCATCAGTTTCACTTCACAGGAGCTATAAGACGCCTTTTAGCTCTCAAAATGTGACTTGACTCAGATGATTTATAAATTTTATAAATATATGAGATACTCTTAATTTGAAGTAGGAAAGGGTATTGTTAAGTTATATAGAATATAACTAAATATGGTAAGCTGGTTTATTAAATATTAAGTATAAACAAGTTATATATGTAAACTTACATTTTGCCTTCAAGAAGAAATAAGTTAACATGTAATACATTTGTCAAAACATACTTCTCTTTATAATATTATGCTCCATGAAAGAACCATGGCATCACTGAAAATTATTTTGGATCTTAAATCATTGGTAATTTTTAAACTAAGGTTTATGAAGTTATTTAATAAATTTTAAACATATACTTAGGTATTCTGTAAATCATTAGCAATAGGGGGATGTTTAGCCTATTATTCTCTCATAGTTACATATTTTGATTGCCATTTTAAATTAGAAAAAAGTTTATGTGCAATATGTAGTGCAAGTGTCACACACAATAAATTTCATTTTAAATGTTGTTTACAAGCTGTTAGTGTCTATCCACCAAAATAATAAAATTATACGCTACTCATGGCCTATATCCCCATTAGCAATGAATTAGGTTTGACAATAAACATGATTATATCCATTGTTTTATAATTTACAAAGAGAATTTTGTTTATCCTTTGTTACTTCTGAAACTTTGTATGACCTAATTATTTTATTTCATGTCTCCTTTATTTAAAACAAAACTTGGAGTTTAATTTTATTAGTTCTTAAGTGTTTTGTATTTCTAAATTTGCTGAAGTTATGGATTATATGTTCAGAAGTAATCTTTTTAAAAATCTTTTTCTTTTTTTAAAGAGAATAGTAAAGAAAAAGGAACAATAGCAAAATACAAACAGAACAAAGCAAGGACATTAAAAATGATACGGGGTTTCAAACCAAATGATAGAGATTAATAGTGGTTGTTATATTATATATTGTTATCTTCAACAGAGTTGCTCAGAGCTCAGAAGTAATCTTAAAAGTTTCAGTAACTTTCTTCTTATGTCTTGAAGGCATAATTTTGGCCAGATACATATAGTACTTTGTGACGTGCTTATGGGACTAATCTAAAATTAGTTTTACTGTCCAGTACTACTAAGAAGTAAACTCTAATCTTTGTAAATTTCTTTTCTAGTATTATAATGATTATGGAGATATTATCAAAGAAACAATGAGTAAAACGAGGCAAATAGACAAAATTCAGTGTGCTAAGACCCTGATTCTCAGTTTGCAACAGGTAAGACATTAAGAGTTCCAGCTTAGGGCCTGGGGATTTAGCTCAGTGGCACAGCGCCTGCCTGGCAAGTGCAAGGTCGTGAGTTCCATTCCCGGTACCGGAAAGAAACCAAAAAAAAAAAAAAAAAGAGGTCCAGCTCAGCTGCCATGATTAGTACTTAAATGAGGTAAACAGTGCAACAGGTAATTCATAAATGTAGAATTACAAAATATTCAGCCTAACTAGTAGACAAAAGAAGTATGATATAAGTTTTTGTTTTCTGACTGGCAAGATTGACAAGACCTGTAGCCCTCTAAGCTATAGAAATAGGTATGGTAGGTAGATTGGCAATACATGTAAAAATTTATATCATGCATGCCATTTGAGGCAACAATTTTACTTTTGAAAATTACTCAAAAGTAGTAGGGCAAATTTGTAAAAATAGTTTTACAAGGTTGTACATTGAAACATCGTTTATAATAGTAAGAAGTTACAAATAATCCAGAGCTATCAGTAGGATATTAGATCAACATACAGTACATTCCTACAATGGTTCTCGTGTGGCACTTACAATTAGTGTAAGGTATGTACTCATTAATGTATAAAATCTTTTAATACATAGCTTGAGAATAAAAAAAAAGTAACAGGGATAGCATCTTTATAATATTATATGTATCTCTGTCTTTCTGGAAAAATAGTAACCAAAATGTTAGCAGTTGTTAACTTATTTGGGTCAATATCAAGTGAATTTTAGGTTTTTCTTCATATATTTCCAGACTTTAAAGGAGCATATATGAATTTTACAACCAAAGCGCAACAGTCTTTTTTAGTTTGGCAGTGGCAGTGTGGGCTTATTTGGGGAAAATTACTTGCTTTAGATACTTTTGTCTTCAGAGACAAAATTTGCTTGCAGAACATACTCCAACCCAATTCCCTCTGATAAACTTTCTTGCTTCTTAGAAATATTAGCATGAAAGTTCTAAATTTCATTTGTAATCTGAGTATTCTTTGTTAAAATTAATAAAACTTGAAGGATTTTTAGAAGGATATTAACTTTCCCTTTGCTATAAAATAATAGCTGCTTGCTATAGAAAGTTTCAGAAATTCAATATTTGGAGAGGTATAAAGTTTATTTCTTCCTCAGCCTTATTAAGATATAAATGACAGAAAATGTATATATTTACAACATACTGCATGAAGTTTTGATATACACACAACATAAAATTATGAAATCTAACGTGCATTATTTTGCATGATTTTTTGTCCTAGGAACATTTAAGTTCTGCAAATTTCAAGTATATAACAAATTATACTGTATTCTTTTTTCTTTTGTGGTCCTATGGATTGAACTCTGGACTTTGCACATGCTAGGCAAGTGCTCTACCAGTGAGCCATATGCCCAAGCCCTGCAATACTTATTCCTAACTATACTCACAGTGCTGTACAATTGATCCCGAGAACTTACTCATCCTGTCTAAATTGAAACTTTGTACACGTAGACCAACATCTCCTCAGTCTCTCTGCTCCACTGGCCTATCCCCTGACAACCATCATTATACTCTGCATCTACGAATTCAAATTTTATAGGTTCCATTTTATGTATAAGTGAAATTATGTGGTATTTGTCTTTCTGTGTCTGACTTATTTCACTTAATGTAATGTCCTCCAGATTCATAGATGCTTTTACAGATGACTTAATTTCCATATTTCAAAGGTTAATTATTATTTCTCTGTATATATGTGTGACACCATATGTTCTTTATTCATCCACTGAGGGACACATACCTTGGTTGTATATTTTTGCTTTTGTGGCTGATGCTACAATGAACACATAAGTGCAGATATCCCTTTGACATACTAATTTAATTATCTCAATATATACCTAGAAGTCTTCAGCATTTTTGTTTCTGCGGTCCTGGGATGGAACCCTGAGTTTGGTGTATGCGAAGCTACTGCACTACCACTGAGTTATATCCTCAGACCTTTTAAAAATTTTGAGACAGGCACTGAATTGCCCATGCTGGCCTGGAACTTGTGGTTTTCCTGCCTCAGTCTCTCAAGTACCTGGTGTTGTAGGCATGTACTACGACACCCACTTTAGCCTTCAGCATTTTTAATAACTATCATATTTCATTTTATAGGTGGGCCATAATTTAATCAAGATCTTTTTGTTTCATGTTCAGATTTTTTATATTTTTTGCCACTATAACTAGCACTAAAACATTTCTGTACATAGTATTGCACATGTTATTTGTTATGGCTAAAATCTTATTTGAATTGATCGATCAAATGACATCAAAATTTAAGCTTTTGCTACTTTATGTTGAAAATTTTTGTTCTTTCTTTGTGATGAAAGTTCTTGATGTGGAAACTCATTACCCAACTGTCAATAATAATTTAGAGTGGAATGCCCTGGTTTAATCACCAGCACTGCCATAAAAAAGTAAATATGGGGTCATAGTTGCTTAGTAATTCAGTGGGTTTACTTTTTCTAATTATTTTTGCATGCTTAGTATAATATACAAGTAATACCAACAGAACAACATTCTGAGAAAACTAATGAAAAGAATTTCCAAAATCAATATTCACCTCTGGTTTAGATATATGAAGTGCTAAAATTTTGGTCATTTGGCCATTTGTATCACATTTTAAAAAGTCCATGTCTTGGAATAAAATGCTATATCTCATTTAGACAACACCTACATTTTAAGTAAAAGGTAGCATATTTTAAAAGATATGAATCTGTATTTAAAAAAAACCCTATAACATGCTTTCTTTCTTTCCAAACAGCTTTTTAATGAAATGATACAGGAAAATGGCTATAATTTTGATAGATCATCTTCAACATTTAGTGGCATAAAAGAACTTGCTCGACGTTTTGCTTTAACTTTTGGACTTGATCAGTTGAAAACAAGAGAGGCCATTGCCATGCTACACAAGTAATCTCAAAATACTTTTGAAGTTTTTGTGTCTAGTCCTTCACTTACAATGGCTAAATTAAATTTGTTTTAGTAGTGTATAAATGTCTACATATCTTTAAGAACCAGTTATAATGTTGTTTCAGTTACTATAATAAATCAGTAGAGACTAAAACTCCCTTTATAAGAAAGTCTTTGTATTAATTAAAACAATACAAAATCTACAAATTATGAGGAGCAAAGCAGTGTATTCATCAGGCATTACACAGTCTCTTATATTATTTTTGTCATACTCTAATTGAAGTTTAATTCCTCTGTCTCCAGTTTTTCTAGTTCTACATTCTATTTTATAATAACCCTTTCCATTGTTTTTATTACCTTTTTGTTTGCATATTTTCTTCCCTTAATCAAAGATAGAAATCATTTGATTTTATATTGGGCATGTAATTTGTGAGCAATTGAACTTTTTAAAGTATTGAGTACATTTTAGATTTTTTAACATAAACATTTGTGTATTAAACTGCTTTATCCCCTGACTGTGGATTAAAGAGCCTTGTTTTAGGGAAAACTAAGAGGCTTAAACTCTCATCGAAAGCTCCATGTTTTATGTCTTTTACTCCTCTTGATTACTTATTTTTTTTTTCTTTTTTTTTGAGATAGGGTTTCACTATGCAGTTCAGCCTGGCCTCTAACTCCTTGCGATCCTTCTGCCTCAGCCTCCCGAGTTCTGGGATTACGGGCATGTGCTACCATGCCTGGCAGTTACTTAGTTTAAAAAGTCTTAATTATCTTTCCTGTTGTTTATTTTACCCATAAGTCTCCTATATTTAATTTATTCTCTACTTTCATCTTTTTTTAAAACTCTGAAATTCATTTTTGTGCCTTTTAATATGTTTGTGGTAATTTTAGGTAATATTTAAGGATCACATGTGTTGTAATTATTTTGAGAAGTAATACATGATTTTCTTTCTGTGATAGCCTGTTTTCTTTTCCAATTCTGTCTGGATTGTTTTTCCCTAATTACATTTTTGATAGAGTATAGTGTTAGGTTGCCTTAATTAATAACAGTATTTGTTATCATATAAATATATTTTAAATGTGGTCTGATTAGAGTTTAATTTTTCAAACTATTTTTAAATAAGTCATTACAAATAGACGTTAATAATTAGTTTTACTCTTGTGCATGACAAAGGAAATATCGTAGTGGAAAGAACATGTAGAGTAAAATTTGCTTTCTAAGTTTCTTAAATTTTTATTATAATCTCTCAAATATTTATTTCAACTTATTTCTTTGCAGAGATGGCATAGAATTTGCTTTTAAAGAACCTAATCCACAAGGAGAGAGTCATCCACCTTTAAATTTGGCTTTTCTTGATATTCTGAGTGAATTTTCTTCTAAACTACTTCGACAAGACAAAAGAACAGTGTATGTATATTTGATAGAAATGTCCTACTTAATTTCGAGATTGTTTTTCAATCCCCGCGCCCCCCCCCCCATCCTTTATTTTTGTGGTGTGGGAGTTGAACCCAGGGCCTAATGCGTAGTTGCTATTCACTTCTGTTCTTTCTATACACACATTTGTAGGATTACATCAGTCTACAAAAATATTATACTAAAGCAATTTTATAATTAAAGAATTTTGACTATTCTGTATATAATACTCCATTCTAATGTTTTCAGTTCTCCCAGCATAGTTGTAGTTTTTGAGGTGTAATTTGAATGCTTTATGTTCTTATTTGCATTCTTATCACAGTCCAGCTAATGAGAGAATGTTTAAAAGACAATAATATTGAGAATCCATTAAGAGCATGCTAGTTTTAGTCTGTGTTTTGAGCTGTGACTACACTGCAAAGTGGAAGTCCTCATTTTATCTTTTTACTTTAATTACTGTTCCTGTTCTCTTAACAAACTCATTTGAGCAGAAAACTTCTCTCCTTTAAGGCTCCTAAAATTGTGACTAATAAACCAAAGAATGAATTGAAATTCTCAAAATCTTTCCATCTACTCCTTGGCTTTGAGGCCAGAATAAATACCTCAGTGTCTCTTTTACAAAAATCACCAGTGTTTTGCTTTTAAAGAGTGAATCTTAAAAATAAAGATGATAGGTTTTTTTTGTATGTGTGAAAATTCTAAAATACTCAAAAATAGTCCATGATGATAGAAATCATAATAGTGGTTGCTTTTAGAGTTAGATTTATTGAATGGGAAAAAAAACTTTCTGGGGTTATAGGAATGTACTGTTTCTTGAAAAGTGTGCAGGTTACATAGCCATATTCACTTGTAAAAGTGATTCAGCTGTACTCTTAATTTCTGTGCATTTCGTTATCTATAATTTTATCACAATTAAAATTGCATAGGTCTGGTGCAGTGGTGTGTGGCTGTCATCTAAACTACTTGGGGGACTGTGTCAGGAAGACAGCTTGATCCCAGCAGTTTTGGGGCCAGCCTTGGCAATGTAGCAAGATCATTTCTCTTCAAGTATTGCATAAACAGTATTAAATATAAATTAAACAATTCTATAATGAAATAATGAAATGAAAAATTCTATAATGAAATAATTCTATATAGCAGATTAGCTAAAGTGAAAATATTTGATAGTGGACCATATATATTGGACCATGTAAGTTGATACAAAACTACTTTGTGGGACTATTTGGGAGTACCTAGTAAAGGTTAGAATTCTTCCTACTTTGTGATCATGATCCACTGATTCCATTCATGTGGAGATACCCTACAAAAACTTTTGAATGCTTGTACAAGGGAACACATAAAAGAATATTGACCTTTTGCATTGTTTAAATGGGGAAGAACTCAAAAGAAACCTAAATATCTTACCAATTAAATCAGTCAGTAAATTGATAGAGCAAGTAATCTATCACACAGCATTCAAAATAGATTCTAAAAAACATGAATGTTGAGCACAAATAGGAAAGTACAAAACTGTGCTGTGCTGTTTATAAGCAGCTATATATTAAAAATACAGAAAATATTCATGAGGACAATAAATAGTAAATTCAGGTTAGTGGAACCTTTGGGGCAGAGATAGGGAGAAATGGGAATAGCTCTGGTGATGGCTGCTTTGCTGTGCTACTACATTAAGGTGTATCTTAAGTGCAAAGCTATAAATCTCCTTCAAGTGAATATACTTTAGTTCAAACTCTTGTCACAGACTGCTAAGAGTTCTGAAACTGGTATTCAGTGCATAGTCCACACAGGAGAGTACTATGCTACTGTGAATGGCTGAAGCTTATAGTAACTAAAACAATATATTGAACCCTTGTCACAAAGCAGTATGTCTTATAATTCAGGTCTCCTTTGCCGTTCAACTAATTAATGTTTACTGTGAAATGTAATACTTGATTGAAATTAGTCTACAGTTGTAATGATAACAGATGTTGGAATTGCACTTTATGGTTAGTTGATAAATAATTGTCTTCATTTATTCTAAGCATAATTTAGCCTAGGTCCTAAATTGTGGTTATGCCACACATTCATTTTTATGACTGGGTACATTATTTCTTCTTAAATTTTTTCACTCTTTCTTCATCTGTGAAATTGAGAGAGTAATTCCCTCACAGAATTGTAAGCATAGTTAAGTATCTGGGAGAAAAATGCCTAGCACACAGTAGTCATATGAAAATTAGTTGAATTTTGCTTGAAAAATTACATGTGATCCTTTTGATATTTGGATCCAAGAGTAGATTTGTAATTTCTATCAGGCCAAAACTTTTTACAGGTAGGCATCATATATGATTTATCTTTGTATCTCTCCTCCATGCCTGGGACACGATAGATACTTAACAAATGTTAGACTGAAATGCTCTTAACTCATGTATTGCAAGAGGCGTGATAGGAATAAAATTGTCCATCGTTGTCCTAAGTTTGAGACTGAGTATTGAAGTAAAACACCCATGGTTCCCACAGCTAAGGGTTGATAGAATTGGCAGTTTCATGTGTTAAAGTGAATAGTTTCTACTTCTTTTTCAGGTATGTTTACTTGGAAAAGTTCATGACCTTTCAGATGTCACTCCGAAGAGAAGATGTGTGGCTTCCACTTATGTCTTATAGAAATTCTTTGTTAGCTGGTGGTGATGATGACACCATGTCAGTCATTAGTGGAATCAGCAGTCGGGGTTCAACTGTACGGAGTAAAAAATCAAAACCATCTACAGGAAAACGGAAAGTGGTTGAGGGCATGCAGCTTGCACTCAGTAAGGAGAGAGAGTGTGTGTGTGTGTGTGTGTGTGTGTTAAGTGTATTTATGTTTATCTTGAATATTTACCAACTGAATAAAGGTTGACCTCATTATTCCTTTGGTAAGTGTTCAGTAGTAACTTACTCAGTGTGTCTATAATACTTAAATATGCTGCTTTAAGCATTTTACCTATATAAATTCAGATGAATAAGTCTTCAGGAACATCCTCTTCAAATGAAAAACTAGCACAGAGCGATTAAGTGACTTTCTCAAGGTCATGCGACTGTTAAGTCGGAAAGCCAGGCATTCTCAATCTAGAACACTTGTTTTTAAGTGCAGTGCTATATACTACATGCAAAAGGATGGGGACTCAGTATTATAGAGCTATTTACTACTAAGCTACAAGAATGAGTCACCTAATTTTAAGTGGAACAACACAGTCAGAGGGTTTGCAACCTTAATTTTCTGTGAAGAAGTCACTATTTGTAAAGAATCTTATAGAAATTCTAAGTACTATCACATTTGATTTCTCATTTTGATGCTTTGATAGCTTGGGCTCCTAGCATTTCAAGGTTTGTTCAGTATGGGGTCCAGGGATTTTTTTCCCTTTTCTCAAAAACCCTTAAATAAATCAGAATAGTTTTTAAAATTTGTTGTTATTATTGTTAAGTAACAAACCACCTCAATACTTAGATCATAGCAAGGATCATAATGTATGATGTATTGGAGAGGAAGACTCAAAAGGCTGATGGTTCAAATCATAAAGTCATCTCTAGTTATATATATGACATCAGCTGGACTGTGTGGCAAGGCACCTACACATGACCTGTCCATATGTCACTGTGCTCCAAGAGAAAGGAAGTGAATGCTGCCAGTTTTAAGCATCTTACAAACTTGCGTAGTATAACTTCTGCTGTGGTGTGTTGGCCAAGCAGTCACAGAGATTCTAGGGGCACGTATGTAATCTTCCACTTCTTATCATGAGGACTGTCAGAGAATTTGAGGATCATATTTTTAAATTGCCACATAATTTATCAGCAGTCAGTCATCATCAGGAATATAGTGTTAAAAAACTTGATTATCTATCTTACGGATAGTTTTAGTATGTCTTGTCCATTTGGAACCTTTTGCTTGTACAGTTTTTTACGTGGTTTCATATATATATATACTAGCATTACAGTTGATGGGGAATGTATTCTCTCCAACCATTAAATAGTTAGAGCTGATAGCTTATAAGAAGTTAAATTTTTTTTTAATAGAAAAGTTACTAAATTAAAATATGTTTCCTCCATATAATTGTAAATTTTAAAAAGCTTTTCTTATCTGAACCAATAGTCAACAGTTACAGATTTGTACTGGACCATAAAAATATACCTGCCCAGTAAACTTCATGAAACATTTATATATAGTTGAACTCAAGGGATGATGTGATTATATTATGAAATGTGAAATTTGTGTTTACTCCATCCGTTACTAGGGTATTAGCACATTTTTCTCACAACTCTTTTCTTTAAAACTTATATTTATTTACACATATATAATCTTCTAATAAAGCAATTTTCCTCCAAGTTCATAGTTAACAGTTTTATATCCCAGATCAGTGATTTTAAAAAATTACTGTTAACTCACTAACACATGTGAATTTTTTTTTTTTTCCCCATACCGGGAATCAAACTCATGATCTTGTGCTTGCCAGGCAGGTGCTGTGCTGCTGAGCTAAATCCCCAGCCCCTGTGAATTTGTGCTTTTATTAATCATGGCAACACCTATAGACATTGGGAAATAAAAATAGCTTTTGCAGATGTGAAACTTGTTTTTGTTTTTAGCCCAGTATTGTACTTAAGGTACATATGGATTTGTGGTCCCCTTGCAGCTAAGAATTTCTTAAGACCCTAGCAGTCTGCATCTGATAGTTTGGGAACCACTGTCCTGTTGTCTTCATTCCTAGTACCATGTCTCATTCCCCTGGGCCATATAATTATTCTTCATATGACCTATTTACTCATAAGTCTTCCTGTTCTGAGGTCCGCCCTCTATGCTGTCACTCATTGATTAAAACATGTGACTCACCATAGTGTTTCCTTTCCCTAAAACTCTCAGCTGCAACTTTGTGGCATGTTAGCACAGATAACAAGACTTTCCACAAATTGATTCCTGCTTTTTTATCCAGTCTTTTCCAACTCTTTCCATCTTCAGACCCCAAGGGTAGCAGACTATTAGTTGGAACTATATGAAATTGCCATTTTTGTAGGTCAAATGTCACTCAGCAGATAAATAGGATTCAGTCATCATTTCATACCCTGTACTCTTGCTTATATTCTTCCCTTTGCTTCCCTTCACAGCCCACTTGATACCTACTATTGTTAGGAGTTACTTTTGGTTAGCTGTCTCTGATGGTACTACTCCCATTTCCCCTGAATTCCCTTTGTATTAGCACTTGTCATACTGTATTGTAATTCCCTGATTGATCTTTCTCCACAACTGGACTACAACAGTAAGGTGGAGGTGGTTCCTTACATACCTTTCTATCTCCTTGTTCTTTGCATGCTGATGTGAAAGGCAACCAGATCTATGTTGGTCTGAAAGAGTTGATTAATAAAAATTAGTGGCTATATTTCATTGCTGTCCCTTTTGCCTTTCAGCTGAAGAAAGCAGTAGTAGTGACAGTATGTGGTTAAGCAGAGAACAAACACTGCACACCCCTGTTATGATGCAGACACCACAGCTTACCTCCACTATTATGAGAGAACCCAAAAGATTACGGCCTGAGGATAGCTTCATGAGTGTCTATCCAATGCAGACTGAGCATCATCAAACTCCTCTTGATTATAAGTAAGTAGATTTGCTCATTTTCTGTACTAGAACTTTATGAATTACATAGAAAAAAGTTAAGTTAAAAGAAGAATAAAATTCTTCTTGAAGCACGCAGGTAACATGGATGTTAGCTCAAAGACAACAAGAGGAAGCAAGGCAACAGCAGGAGAGAGCAGCAATGAGCTATGTTAAACTGCGAACTAATCTTCAGCATGCCATGTAAGTGAGAGTGCCTTATTGTCTGAGTCTAGGAAGTTCACTAATTCATTTTAATATATTTTAATGTGTGCCTCATCTAAAATTTCAGCAGACTCTCTAGAGTAAGCTGAAATAATCAAGGAACTAAAAATTGGTCTTTCCAACAGAAAAAAAAAATATTTTAAATATTAACTAGATAGCCAAAGGACCAAAGTTAGGTTGATCTGTTGGAAAAATTTAAATATGAATCCTTGTTTAATTTGGTACACACAATTAAAAAATACATTTCTGTTACATTTAATTAATTTTCCCGCCATAGTAGTTCAGGCCTTCATCTCTCACCTGAACTGTTGTAGTAGCTTTCTAACTGGTTTTCTTCCTTCAAATCCCCATTTATCCTTTCACCAAAACCCTCCCTTCACACCTTCCCACCACTCCATTATTCACACTACCATTAAGAATCACTATTCTAGAATAAAAATATTAACATGTAACTCTCTTACTTAAAATTTTTCCATGGCTCCCCATTGCCTGCTGGATAAAGTTCACACTCCTTAGCTCATGGCATGCAAGATCTTTCAGAATAATAGCCCTGCCTACATTTTAGTGTCATACCTCATTCCTCGGTAACTGGTGAAATCATCATGAAAGAACAAGCTCAGGTGTCACCTTAGGTGAAGCTGTGGTCATCTATGCTCCCATTAAACTATTTATATTCATATTTCTTACAGCACTTGCCACGATGTATTGTAATTGTGATTTTGTCCCTTTTTCTAGACTGTGAGCTCTTCAAGGGCAGGGACCCCATTCATTGCCTGTTAGTGCTTGGCACATAAGAGGTGCTAAGTAAATGTTCACTGAATGAGTAAATGTTCAGCACTTAAGAAATTATAATTTATCTTTTAAGTACTTTGTTTTTACTGGGTTCTATATGAGAATTTAAAAAATCATCGTGAAATCTAAGTAGTTTTGGCTATAAAAGAAATGACCAAGAAGCAATACTTAGCTAATGTTTTGTATATCTCGATTGGTATACAGGGGACAGTGTGATGTTTCTAATAAAGATTTTGAGTTTGAAAGCATTGTAACATAGTGTGATATATATTTTAGTATTGGGAGGTAGTAATTGTTACCCTTTTAAAAAATTCATATTTCATTTTATTTTGTTGATTTTAAAATAAGAATTTCACCAGCTTCTCTTAAGAAATGATCAATTTGCCTGTAGTGGTAGCACATACAAATTCACTTTAGTTATCTCTGTAGAAATCTTAAGAACCTCTACTGTGACAGAAACTAAGTGCTATTAAATTTGTGGATTTGTATCCTAACTTGGCTAATATTGTCATCATCTGTACTATCACTTGGTTCTATCACCATTTTTCTGGCTAAATTCTGCTTAATACATGTTTCATGCTGGATCCTACAGCTAATTTCTTAGCTCCCAGTTAATCACCAGTTCCATCACTCCAGAATTCTGCCACACAGTCATTTGGTTTATATCTCTCCCCTGGAACGTTGGCAGTGTTTCTCAAGATCCTCTAGAGCAGTGGTGTTGAACTTTTGGCACATGTGCTGCAATGGTCTGTTCGTATCACTGAAAGCTTTAAAAGGTTCACCGTCACCACTCTAGGGCATCTCATTACTCAGTACCGTTTATTTTGTTTGTAGTTTAATTCCCAGTTGTAAGTAATCTCCTCCAGGCATCTACAAGGGATTATCTCATTTAAATAACTGTCATCCAAGAATTCTTTTGGTTTTGTTATACCACCAAAAATGGTCTGTTGTCTAGGATTTCAAAGCACTTTCATTTTGCAGTGATTTTTCTGTGGTGATGTCTGTCCTATAATTGAAAATACTTACAAATTATATTTTTTCCTGTAGTTCACATCACATATATCTTCCGTGTACTCCGAATGAAATGCAGAATGGATTTATTATGGTCTTTGGTAACATGTATGAAACATACATTCCTTCATAGTTGTCCCCACAAAAATAGTGAAATAATCTGTTAATCATGACTGTTTAAACCATTATCAACATGTTTGTCCAAGTAGCATGGATCAGATATCATGTCTTGTTATCTTTTTATCTTTTAAGATATACTATAGTATTATACACTGTGAAACATTTAGTAAATAATTATTGGAATTTTGGTGGGTCTGTTTTTGAGGGGAGGGATCTTTGGATAACAGAAGAATGTAATGTTAACCAAACTGGGAAACAAGAAATCACACTAATTTGCACTGTTGGGTTGGTTATTTTATGCTGATCTGGGCTAATTTGTGAACTTAGTTTATTTTCCCCATGATTTTAAAATAATAGAGCTTTTGGTTTTAATTTTTATTTCTTCTATATGTATTGGTTTTTGAGTTTCATAGGGCACAATGGTTGTTCATTCTTTTCCTGAGACAGATTTAATTCCTTATTTCGGTGTCTATAGCACTTGATACATACAGTTCTATTATAATATTTATTATTTTCTCATAATTAACTGTTTATCTCTATTTTCCCCTGGTAGACTGTGAGCTCCTTGAGGGCAGAAACCATGTTTTATTTTTCCTCCCTCCCTTCCTCCCTTCTGCCTCCTTCTCTTTTTCTTCATTCTTCTTTCTTCCATAAGACACAGTAGAAACTTGTCAGAGTAGGCACTGTGTAAATGAATGATTAAATGCATGCCTAATATAAATTAGGGAGTGAGCGATGAATGGGAAAGTTAGCATTATATATAATGAAAAAAAATAACATGTATGTTCTGAAAATGTCATTTTTTTCTTATCTGTTTTATTTATTAATTTGTATTTTGCCTACTTTCAAAAGGGATTTGAGGTATCTTGTATGTTCCCATGTGGGAAATTCTTATTCAACTTTGTATATGGGATATCAAGACTATCAAGCTAAATGTATCAAGTAATATAGAATTAACATAGTTCCTTAGCATTTTCAAGCAAGGGAACATTGGATTTTCTACATCATTGATGACATGAGCAATGCCTAATCATTCTCCTTGACCTTTAATTCCTTCATTTTCCATTATACTTGAATAGAGAGAGCCACATAATATCTACCTACATATTAATAGTCATGTCACTGGTTCAGGTCTTGACTTTGTTTTATATTTCTCTAGTCGGCGTGGTACAAGCCTAATGGAAGATGATGAAGAGCCAATTGTTGAAGATGTTATGATGTCCTCAGAAGGAAGGATTGAGGATCTTAATGAGGGAATGGATTTTGACACAATGGATATAGACTTGGTAAGAAAGTTAAAGAAATAAGACTTTCAGTTAGGTCCTTTGGGAATAAAGTTGAAGCAATACTTGCTACAAAAAGTATTTTCTGCAAAAATGTTCATCTAGTTGCCAGAGGGTTGGGATATGAGAAGGGACTGAGGAGTGGATATGGTTGGTGAAGCTATTAGATCTTGGTTTAAGATGATAAAAATTGTTTATTGAAGCCAGATGTGGTGGGACACACCTGCAGCCCCTGTACTTGGCAGGCTGAGCCAGGAGGATCACTGTGTGTGCTTAAGGCAGCCTAAACTACATAGCAAGACCCTATGTCTCAAAAAACAAGGAAAAAATATTACGTGCCTTTGAGATTAATTTAGAAATAGAGTTAAAGGATATATGTTGCTTATCTTAATTTGATTACAAAAATCAAATTACATTTAATGGTTATGTATTAAGTCTTCCAAAAACATTTTGAGTGAATATGCTAAATATCATGGTGTCTTACAACTTTCCATTTACTTGCCACTGTCAAAATAACATTATTCACATGTTGTCACCCTGTTATTGAGACAAATTTCTATACCAGATAATGGAGTAAAATTACTTAAAGAGAAGTGAAATATATATTTGGGCATATTCTCTTAATAATTGTAAATATGGTTAAGGCTTAGAGTATACCAAATGTACCTACATGTTTTATTTTGCCAATTTTCTCATTCAACTTTATAAGTTAGGTTGAGGGGATTTGAAGATACTTGTGCTTGCACAGCCCAAAAAATCAAAACTGAGACTTACTATATGTTAGGACTTGTGTTTTTTTTTTTTTTTTTTTTTTGAGAGAAGGTCTTGGTATGTCATTCAGGCTAGGCTTAAACTCACTTTGTAGTCCAGCCTGGCCTCAGAACTCATGACAATCATCTTCATGCTTCAGCCTCCTGAGTGTTGGGATTATATGCATGTGCCACCATGCCCACCTTTGTGATTCTTATTTTTAGTGCACTGTGGGGTATATTCTCTTTAAAAGAAAGAAGTAATTAAATATGGCTTCTCTTTAGAGTAATTTGGTGTCTTTAAAGGAAAATTATTTGAAAAGAAGGACTTTTAGAAGTAAAATTTAAAAAATGTTCCCAGGTTTGTTTTTCAGAATAACTTTCTACCAATGAATGTTTTTGGACTTTTAAACATTGTGTAGTTTGAGTTTGCAGTATTTGGCGTATTGTATATTTATAGCCCTGTAGCCCATGTAAACCCCTAATGATAATAAGGATATTTTCAGTTACTATTCTGATTGTAGTTAGAGCAAGTGTCAACTAACTTCTTATTTTTTTCTTAGCCACCATCAAAGAACAGACGAGAGAGAACAGAACTGAAGCCTGATTTCTTTGATCCAGCTTCAATTATGGATGAATCAGTAGGTTTAATTTAAATGTACCCCAAGACTGAAAAAAGTATAGATAATCCCCAAATTTAAGGTTGAAGAGCTGGGGCAGCATACTGAGAAGTGATGAAAACAATTGGACTTAAGAAAAAGAGGCTGTCAGGCAGGATTTCAGTGGGAGAAGAGGGCCAATGCAGCAGTGGTAACAGATGGAAAAGTGCCTTCAAATCCCTTGTCAACTGGGACTTGAATATGGAGGAATTCAGATCTTTCCGATAGGTTTAGATTTGCATTGTATTTCAGAAAGATTTCCTTGGGATTTATGGGTGGATAAAATGAGTGGGGGAATAAAAGTAATAGGAACTTGAATAAAGATTTTGATAGCAGAGAGAGGACATTGAGATATCTAGGATGGAGAGTCAATTACCCCCTCCAGCCCTTGTCTGTTACTGGTTTTTCTCAGGTCTTTTTCTTAGCTACTTCTGTACCATATTTTCTTTGATACTGCAGTTCAACTCCTCCTCAGTTATTGGACTGTTGCAGAGCCTTTTAACTGATCTTGTTGCCCTACCCCTCTTTTATATCTTTCGTAGGATTATCTTTCTAAAATGTATGTCTGATCGTTTCACTTAAAGTTGTAAGTTGTTTTTTCCCTACCACCATTAAGAAAAAATTCTGGGTCCTTACCTAGCAAACCAAGCCTTTAGTAACCTAGTAAACCAAGCCTTTAGTAACCTAGTCCTTACTACCTTAACTTTGTCCTTTTCCCTATATTTACATATATCCTATGTTCTGCCCACAACAAGTCTTGCAGGTTCTTTCCAGCAGTCTATGTTCTTTGATGATTCCATGCCTTTGTGTAAGTTTTTTTTCTCTGCCAGAAATATTCCTTGTTTTTTCTTCCTAGTTGATTCTTTCTTTAATACTCAATTTTAACATTATCTGTGACATTTTTTTCTACACTCTCCAGATATTTTATTCTCTGCTCTCTTCAACACTTTGTATGGAGTTTCATTATGATAATTACCAGACTGGTGTAGTGAGATAGGTTATTACATATCTTGGTCTGTCAATAGACTGAACTTCATAAAGCAGTGCACAGTAGGTGGATTGTCAAATAAGTAGGTCATTTAAGTGCCTTACCACTTTTTAGTGTCCTGCCTATTCATACTCCTTCCTCCTAAATCCTAGTACTTCAGGTGACTGTTGTACCATCCTCTGAGGCAGCATTTGCTCTTGGCTCTCCACAACCTCATAATCTGCTTTCAGATAGCTTTTGGAGATAATTTTACTAAACTAGTTTACACTAACACACTATATTAATAAGGTCAGTTATCTGACCTAAAACTCAGAATAGAGCAGGTAGTATGGTAATCTTTAGCTAGACCATGTTGGGATCTTTTAAATCAGTATTTCTCAGTCTTTTATGTGCCTTTGAATCATCTAGAAATCTTACTAAAATGTAACTAGATCCAGCTTCAGTAGGTCTAGATCATGACCTGGGATTTTGCATCTTTGACAAGTGTTGTTGCTGCTTAACATCTACAGACTGTTCCTTGAGTAGCAAGTATTTAGTACACAGGCAACCTGTCTTATCCAGAAGTGTATATAGTAAAGTAGGTGGTTTTCTGGATGATATAGTAAAATACATCTTAATAAGACATGAAGGTAGCAATTGTGAAGGGTAAAGGAGAATGTTTTCAAGACAGGTGTCGTGAAATACATTCATTCAGCAACAGTTCAGTGAGCTGAAAGTTGGTGCTAAAATGAGTAAGACACTCATTCTGTCCCTAAATATTGAAAATTCTAGTATACCTTGACTGTAACTTTGAAAAGTACAGAAGCTAGTATTTGAGAGCTTGTGTGCCTGCCACTATATGAGGCATAATGTATTTGTAAGAGTAGTAATTTGATGGCAGTTACTTTTGATTTCATAATCTGCTGTTATCTCTACTATTTATGCTTACCAAAAATGAAAGAACTCATTTAGATGAAAACATCAAGACAAATAATTAGGAAATTGAAATGATTAATTATAGTCTAAATTGATACAAGCAGGTACAGATCTCTATATTTTTTCATGTATTCATTTAACAGCAGAACTTTAAGCATTTGTTTGTTTAGTCACATACTAGATTTGCAAAACGGTGTTCTTCAGATTATGAAAATAATGAAATAGCAATATAAACTATTTTTGACATCTAGCATTTAGAGAAAATCATAATCTGAGGTCCAAAAACAGGGACCTAATACTCTTACTTACAGCAACTTCATGATTTTCTCATGTATATTTATTTTATTATAACTGAGAATCCTTTTTTAAATTTAATAATAGTTTAGCTGCCTCTGACTAAAATGAAATGAGTATTGTACCGATACTTGTAGTTTTACAGCATTACCACATGATGGCAGCAGTCACATAACAGAGTAAGGTTCAGGTACCTTCAGAAGTCTGTGACTGTACTTTTTAAAAGTTCATCTCAATTTTTTTCTTAAGTATGTACTCCATAGTGTCATGACTATAACCCAAGAATGGAATAAAGACAAATTTGGAATGTAAAAATGTATTTGCCATAGTATAATAAATACATTTATATTGTGATTCATTGAAATAGTAAAGTTGAATTTAAATCCTTTAATACCCACTTCTAAGATTTTCTGGTTCTAAGTACCTTAAAGCACCTTACTGTAGATACTTCAGGTTATTACTAAATAAAGCCTAAGTATATCATTTGTAACATGATTTTCACATTGTCCAGAAGTGACAATATAAAAACTCGGAGCATATCATTTTGGGGCTACATGTACATAGAAGTCCAGATATATGGTATAGTTGATTTTATATCTGGAGACAAAATTGATTTATCCCATTGTGATAATGGCTCTTTTCTGCCAGTATTGACACAACAACCGATGGTTTGATATTTGTATATTTAAGTATATGTTTAAGTGTTTATTAATATTAACATCAGAAACAGTTACAGTTTGTGTTCAAATAGAAGAGAGTGTCACTTATGTTACCTTCTGTGTTGAGATTCTCTTATTAGACCTACATGTAGTGTAGAATTGGTAAAGCCTCAGTATATGGAGCTAATTTAATGGTCTAGTAGGAGGATCTAGTTACAACTAGTCTATACAAAATAGCAAAAGGAATTTCAGAAACTCTGCAAAGAACTTAATTCATTTTCATACCATGCTCTACACTAAAAATTCACTAATTTAAAATTTTATTCTTTTGCTAACCTTCAAACTTTTCCTTGCCCAAAGTCATAGTGTTTTGGCTGTAAGAAACTCTTAAAAATCATCTAGGTCTTTTTAGTGGAAACATCCTGGCCATTGAAACTCTCAATTTTAAACCATCAAAGAAGAACCTGGGAACTTCTTGAAGGAGAGGAAAGAGAAGGACTAGGGATATGTAATGTGGTAGTTATTTAGTTAATGGAGGGGTAAGAACTAGGATACATGAATCCTTAAGTTTTCACCACTGGGGATTCCAAACAACTGTACTTGATAATTCATTACAAAGAGGCTGCATTCAGTAGATACTTATTTTTCTGATCTGAAAATACATAATTCCTTCAAATCAAAACAGTTCAAGTTCTGGCTTTGTTCAAGTGAGATTTAACTTACAAATAAGTAATCTTGTGATCTCAGTCTCAGCTCATTACCTCTGGCTTAGATAGCAGTTCGTACTAGCTTATTATAGTATCCTAAAATATTGCTTAATTGGCATAAGTGTTAGCACCTCACTTAGTATATATGCTAAAAGTAATGTGCCTCTCTTACTCAATGAACAAGGTTGAGTCATTCCATCCATTATGTGCGTTTACTTTTAGAAACAAGTAATTACTAGAATTTACCTAACATTCTTTACTCAACTGGAATGTATAGAAAAGTATCAATACTGTATAAATCATTTTACCCATTTCACATTATTTGATTTCTTAAAATTTATAGTTAATGCTCATTAACTCAGATTTTCTAAAGAAAGCTTCCCATTGTCTTATGTGCTTGTGGTGTTCTTCGATTTTTTTTTTTTTTTTGGTTTTGCATGTTAGAACACTTCTTTAAAAAATGATGCCTTCAGAGTGAAATGGATGTTTGTAAAAGACTTTGTTAACCTCTTTCCAATGAACTTGTGCCAGAAATTTATGTTAGGAAGCATGTTCATATGTTCATTCCACAAATGTTGGGAGCCTATCTATGTTTAGGACACTAGGAGTGTATATAAACATAGGTAAGCCAAGGTTCCTACTCTAATATTTATGAGATAATTGGCATTTTGATTGGGCCTGATGCTGTTTCATTAATGGTCACTTTAAATTTGGAATTACTTACCTGAAGAGGGGACATTTTCAAAGTGGTTTTTATTAGAATATTATTTAACATGATATTAGTAAAGTACTAATGTAATATTTACAGGTATTTTTATAAATAAATGAATGACTATTTTAACAACTCTTTTTTTTCCTCTCTCATTAGGTTCTTGGGGTGTCAATGTTTTAATACCAGTACACAATTAAATCTGTGGTGAAGTCATTTTCTAAGTGGAAGAGGAAATTTTAAAATAAAGTGTGGTAGATACAGTGAAATTCTGTACAGATTTTTCTCTAAGGAGAATATGACTTGCTTATGCTTACCAAGATCAAGTGCATTGAGGGGCAGTTTTGTTTGCCTGAAAAACATAAAGGACAAGTAAACAATTTGATGATAAGCTACAGTTTTTCTTAGAAAGTAAATATTTTATTTATGCGCTGTTAGTTGGCTTTTAAATCAATTATTTCATGCTTTTTTAAAAAAATAACTATAACAATCTGAAGAGGCATTTGGTACAGATAAGAATCCTCTCACATTTATTTACTGGTTGTACTAAATAATGATGACCTCTGCTGGATTTCTGTTTACATCCAAGAAACAAAGTAAGGATGAATTTATTCCCTGACCCCTGAAATTGTAGGATAGAATGAATTGTTTTTAGCATTCTAAATTTAAATGCTTAAAACGTCAATCAATACTTTGTTTTAAATATTGTAATTGTGGAGAAAAGTTAAACTTATAAGCAGAACTTTTACAATTTTTTCATCTAAAATGTATTTTAAGATATTTTTAAAATCCAAGAGCTTCTCTATACTTTTCAGAACTATCCAGATGTAATGAACTGCCAGAAGGTAACCAGTCTCAAACATGCTTATCCCACTATCAACCCTGAAAGTTTGCTTGTCCTTTAAGATAAAAATGTAATGTTGTGATATTCCTTCCAGTAGTGCCACTGTATTTTGTCTCCAAATAAAAGAAGCTTATTGTAGTATGTTTGCAGAAAAATTCTAAACAAAAATTATACAGCTTATTAGAGTGTGGGAATAGGGATCTAAATTTTAAATAAAATTATATATATATATAAATTGGTGCTGATTTTATAATTGCGCAGTTTGTTTAGTTTTTTCTTACTTTTAAATTCCAACTTAAAATTATGAGGTTTCAGAAATATATTGAAAGTTTAACAATGTTTAAAAATAGAAAAGCATGAGTGTTCATGCTTTAAAATGATTTTTAAATTTGTATTTTATATTGTTTTATCTATCTGTCTTTGCAAGCAGTCTTCAGGTTAAAGATACTTCTAACAGGTTACAGTACACTTCCTCTGTATGTAAATTAGATGGGATAATAGAATTCATAACCCATAATATTCTTTGAAAGCTAAGCTTTAAACTTCATTTTATGTCCTTTCACAAATGAATTAGTTTAAAACAGAAAGTGGCTACTTGCCATTTTGACATCAACTCATTTTGCGAGGCTTAGGCAGCTAGACATCGTTTAAAACAAAATATTAACTTATATCACGTGTATCTATCTTTTGTCAGTCGTCTCTCAGTTCTTGAGGTTATTATTTTAATCATTCCATGCCTTAATATGCTTGCAATACAAGTATATCTTCAGATGGGTGAATACCAAAAGGCTTCCAGTTTTTAGAGTCAGAAATCAATAAGCATTGGGCTGTGGTAGCCAAAAACCATAGGTTAGCTAAAAGATCATAATAAAATACAATTATTTTATTAAATCATGGTTAACAAATGAAACCGGACTTGTCTAACAGATTTTTCATCAACAAATATTGTTATGTGCAAAAGTATTGCATATGTTGTTTTACACCACTGCATTTACTAGAACTGCTGAGAGGACTGTATATATGATTTTAAACCTAAGTTGATTTTTTTCTCACTCTTGAGGGGAGTACTTCTTTGTGAAAGCAGTTCTTACAGCTTTGTTTTCAACCAGCTAAAAATGTTTTATATATTACTCTAACCTGTTGTCCTCCACATTCTATTGTCCTAATTGTACTGTTTTCTGATTTGTATTTATGTCTTGAGACAGTAACTTTTTGAATAAAAATAAACCTACAGTATGTTGTATGTTTTATCTCTTGTAATCAAAGGGGAAGGGTGACTAAATGATTTACTATCAATCAATTATCTATATATATCTATTACATGTGTTTGAGTGGGAATATTTATAGAAAACATCACCATTTTATATTTTTAATAAATCATATATTTTTAAATGAGACTAAATCCCTAATTGGGTTATTACTTTAAAATAATCTATAACCATTATTGCTTTAATTTTTATTTCATGTGAGTTAACACACTTTGAAATGTCTACATTGTTTATTCAGGATATATTTGAATGCCTACTATGTGCCAGGCATAGGTTAGAAGTCCTTCCTTCATAGATTCAATGGAGAAAACAAAACAAAACAAAAACTTGTAATGAGAGTCCCGGAAAGGAAAACAGCCAGGGAATGAAATGAGAGAGAAATCTACCTTAGGTGATTGGCTTTAGTTTGGAAATAAAAGCCAACATTTGAAAAAGAATTTATTCTTACTGAAAATTCTTGCTTGAATGTTAACAAGGTTTGCATTTTTTTTTTGGAGACAGACTCTTGCTCAGTAGTTTAGCCTGACCTTGAATTCACTGTATATCCCAGGCTGGCCTCAACCTTGTTGTGATCCTCCTGCCTCATGCTCCTGAGTGCTGGGATTATAGGTGTGTGCCATCACACCAGCTAATTTGTATTGTATTCTTTAAAATAGAATTCGATCAGTGGACATTGTTCATTTGGGCTATTATGTAGGTCATATGAGTGTTCAGTCTTTGTTGTTTCAGAACTGATCATGTGAAATGATGGCTAATAGCTGGGAAATGTTTTAAGTGATTTGCATATAATAACTCATTAATCCTCATGACAAGGGGAAATACTATTAACTTTCCCTTCCTCTTTTTAAAAAGTCAGGAGGAGGTAAAGAAAATGAGGCACAGCTAATTTTAAAACACCTTACACAAGGTTATATGGTTAGTAAGTAGTGGGGGTTGATATTTAACCCCAGGAAATCTAGCTGGATCATGATCCACAAAGCAATGAAACCATTTAATACATAAAGGCTAGCATGCTTGATTGTATAAAGATAAAATTGTACATTATTCATCATGCTGTGGTACATCTTTAAGGAATCTTGCTGGCTGTGGAATTGACTGATGTGAATAAACATTGCCCTTAATAATGCTGTCCAGCTGCCTCCTATAAAGAAGTTATAAATCAAAACTCATCTCAGAGCCCATCAGTACAGTAGTTACTTGTTAACAGTTTTAAAAGTTGGGAGACAAGGGAGGGAAAAGGCAACCTAAAGGAGATGTCTTCATTGTCCCGACACAAAGGAAACTTAAGGATTCACATGGATGAGTACCAGGTGAGATAGATTATTATAACTGATTCAGCAAAAGAAAATGAACTGACTGTGACGGCACATGGCTATCTTCTCAGCTATTGGGAAGCTGAGGCAGGAAGGTTGTAAATTTGAGGCCAGCCTGGGCAACTTCTAGAGACCAAGTCTGAAAATAAAAAAGGCTGGGTATGTGGTTCAGTGGTAAAATGATTGGCGTCAAGTGTCTGGGCTGTAGGTTTAATCTCTAGTACTGGGGACTGTGGAGGAAGGATGGGGACACACAAAAGAGCCAGTAAGGCACAAGACCTTTGACTATGAGGTGATAAATCTCTTTAAGCGGGGCTGGGGATTTAGCTCAGCGGCAAAGCGCCTGCCTTGCAAGCGCAAGGTCGTGAGTTCGGTTCCCGGTACCGGAGAAAAACCAAAAAAAAAAAACTCTTTAAGCCAAAAAATCTTTTCCTTGTCAGGTCTGTGCCTAACCTTTTGCTAGCTGCTGGGCATCCAAAGACCAGACAGGATTTATTTTGAAATTACTAGTAACTCCTAGGAGTTGGGTTGCTGTTGCATTACTAACAAAATGGAGTATGTATCAGAGCACAGACCAGGGACACTAACTGTGTGTTCAGGGACCTTCCTGTAACACACTTGGGGTTTGCCTAAACATTTTATCATGAAAATTTCACACATCAAGTTGAAAGAATTGATATTAATACATATCTATCAATCTGTCTCATCTTTTACATATTTCAAAATAAGTGGCCAACATGCATACCCTGTCTTCTAAATACTTCATCATGCATATTATTAACAATTAACTTTTTCCTTTGGTATAAAATTTATATTTGTACAATGAATGCACAAACTGTAAGTATATATATTTGCTGTTTTGCAAATTCTTAAAATTGTTTTAACTTCAATTTCTTGTTGAAAATATTGACCATTACCATCAACCTTGACGATTCTGTTACTCTCTATCTAGTTTATACTTCCAAACTTTCTACAAAGACAACAGCTGTTTGTTTACATCATAGAGTCGTGTGTGTGTGTGTGTGTGTGTGTGTGTGTGTGTCCCCATCTGTCCATGTCACCATCCATCTGAACACTTCATTGCTGTTATTCCTGAGTAATTTCATTGTAAAGATATACTATGATTTATCAGTTTAGTAATTTGATGGACAGTTGGATTGTTTCTGCTTTTGAGCTATTATGAATAAAATAAAGCTCTACTTGAGTTGAATCTTAAGAGCTGAGAAGTTAGCCAGGTGAAAGAGAGTTGGGGGTTGGGGTGACTAGGACTGAGAATTTTAGGCAGAGACCACATAAACTACTGTCCTATATGTAAGAAGTACAGTGGTACCTTGGTTTACGATTTTAACTTGTTCTATAATTCTGGAAAAGATGACCATGTTCACGTGGGAAAGATGGTCATGGTTGTATTCATTGCCCAATAGAGTTTGTGAACAGAAACTAAATTTTGCCAGGTGCTTCTGCCAAATTGTAAGCAAACAAAAGTGTTCATGAACCAAGGTACCACTCACTAGATTTAGTAACTGCTGAGATATAGGTGAGTCAAGACTGGAAGAATAGTTGGGTATCTGGTACCTCCCATGAGTTTTAAAAATGAAAAAGGGCACTCACAACTGGAACCTTTGGTAACTTTAGTGGGTTTTCTTTAGGCAATGTAAGTTTTTTTTAATTCAGACAATAATTGTACATATTTATTAGGTACAGTATATTAAATGCATGTGTATATGTAATGCAAAATTTGCATTTCCCCAGTGATTAGTGATTTTGAGCATCGTTTCATCTACTTATTTGTCCTTTAGTTATCTTCTTTTGAGGAATGTTTATTCAGGTCCTTTGTCCATCTTCGAATCTGGTGGTTTTTCTGTTATTGAGTTGCATGAGCTTCTTATCTGTAGTATTGGATATTAACACCTTATCAGACATCCTTGCATACATGTATGTATGTATGCATAGGTTGTCTTTTGATGTAACCCCATTTGTCTATGTTTACTTTTGTTTCTTGTGTTCTTTAGGTCATATCAAATAATAATAACACAGACTGATGCCATGAAACTTTACTGGTAGTTTCATAGTGTTAAACCTTGCATTTATGTCTTTAGTCCATGTTAGTTGACTTTTATATGTGGTATGAGATAAGGGTCTGATTTCATACTTGTACTTGTGCATGTGAATATCATTTTTCTTGCATGTATTTAAGAGACTGCCTTTCTCCATTGTGTGTTCTTGGCAAACAGTGGTCCATCATCTGGCTTTATTTCTAGGCTTTCTTTTCAGCTCCATTGGTGTATGTGTCTGTTTATGTGTGTACCATGCTATTTTGGTTACGAGAGTTTTGTAGTATATTTTGAAGTCAGGTTGTATAATGCCTTTAACTTTACTCATTTTGCTAATGATTGCTGTAGCTATTTGAAGTCTTTTGGGATACTGTACAAATTTTAGCTGATAGTTTCTATATCTGTGAGGAATGTCATTTGGCTTTTGATTGAGATTGCCTTGATCTGTAGATCATTTTTGGTACAATGAACATTTGAATATTAATTCTTCCAATCTGTGAACCTAGAATATTTTTCCATTTATGTGTGCCTTCAGTTTCCTTCATAAATGTTTTATACTTTTCATTGTACAAGCCATCACCTCTTGGGTAAATTGATTTGAAAGTATTTTTGATAGTTGTTGTAAGTGGGATTATTTTCTTTTTCTTTTTTAGGTAGTTACAATATAGAAATACTGATTTCTCTATATTGATTTTTGTATCCTGCAGCTTTTATTGAGTTTATTATTATTTTTATTGTGTTTATCTTGGAGTCTTTAGAATTCCCTATATGTAAGATCCTGTTTTCTACAAGTAGGTATAATTTGGATACTTTGTTTACTTTTTCCTGCCTAATTGCTCTGGCTGGGACTTTCAATATTCTGTTAAATAGAAGTGACAAGAGTATGTTTAAGCTTATGTGACTAATTTACTTAAGAGTGTGGTCTCAGGGTGCATCCACTTTCCTACGGGTGACTCAAGTTTATCATTCTTTATGGCTGAGTGTAATACTCCATTGTGTGTAAATACTACATTTTCTTTATCCATTCATCTGTTGATGGACATGTAGGTTGCTTTCAAGATTCAGCTATTATGTCTTGTGCTGTTATAAACCTGGGTATGCACGTATCACTTCAATATGATATCTTTAACTCTAGAGAAGATACCTAAAGGGGGAATAGCTGAGTCAAATGAAATTTCTATTTTTAGTTTTTTGAAGAATCTCCATCGTCATTTCTGTAGTGGCTGTACCAGTTTACATTTCTACCAACAATGTAAAATGGTTCCTTTCTCCTCATCCCTGCAGCCTGGCCAACATTTTTTGTTATTTGATTTCTTTTGTCTTTTTTTTTTTTTTTTTTTTTAAGACAAGAGTCTTGCTATGCAGTTGAGGCTGTCCTTGAACCCACTATGGAACCCAGGCTGGCCTCAAACTCAGCAGTGATCCTCCTGCCCTAACCTCCAGAGTGCTGGGATTAGAGGCGTGTGCTACTATACCTGGCATATTATTTGATTTCTTCGTAGCAATTCTTTCTGGGGTTAAATGAAATCTTGTTGTTTTACTTTGAATTTCTGTAATGGCTGGTGATGTTGACAATTGCTTCGTGTATGTATTAGCCAATTTCAGTTG